TACATAGTGAGGTGTGTGTGCGTGAGTGTCTTTGTGTCTCACCACATCCCACCCAAAGCGGCACCCCTCCCCTCCCCCTTTGTTCGGTTTGTGACAAGCACAGGGATGCCCTTGAACACCTCAACATCCCTCCCTCCCTCCCTCTATCCTCTCCCTCCCTCCCTCCCTCTATCCTCTCCCTCCCTCCCTCTATCCCCTCCCTCCCTCTAACCTCTCCCTCCCTCAGCTCCCTCTAGCAGATGGTCACAGATGGAAAGTGGAGGAGTGCGGACCTGATGGCATCTGTGTGGGGTCGCTCTCGCCATAACCCTCCCACACACACACACACACACACACATGGTCAGCCAACCTCTCTCATATGGCGGTCTCTACCTTAAGGAGGAGTCACCAGAAATCATTGTAGGTTGCAGGTTCTTCTGGATCTACTACTGCACACAAAGACAGAACATGAGTTTCTCTCCTTGACTCACCTTTACCTGTCTGAAGTAACAGAATGATATCGCTCTGACCCTGTCTGCAGATAATCTGTTGTCTCTGAGAAAATGTAACTTGTCTGACCAAAACACTGAACAGTAGGCCGGATCCGTTTCCAGGCAACAGATTACAGCTCTGATGGCAGACAGAGGGTGATAAATGGGTGTTTATATTGTACTGGAGGCAGACTGCCTCGCAAACTGCTGCGTAATATAGGCAGAGGGGAAATTCGAATGGAATCTGAGATGTATGGAGGTGCGGGCAGGAGTACTAGTGTAGGACCATAAAGGTGCTTTCTTTAGTGAATCAATGCTGTCATCTAGTGGTGTAACACTGGGCTTAACTTTGGAAGAAATACTGTAGATTTTGTTCTACATTGCCAATATACACACTACCAGTCAAAAGTTTGGACACACCTACTCATTCAAGGTTTTTTCTTTATTTTTACAATTTTTTACATTGTAGAATAATAGTGAAGACATCCAAACTATGAAATATCACATATGGAATCATGTAGTAACCAAAAAAGTGTTAAACAAATCAAAATATATTTTCTTTTTGAGATTCCCTATTTGGAAAAATACCAAGTCCATATTATGGCAAGAACAGCTCAAATAAGCAAAGAGAAACGACAGTCCATCATGAAGGTCAGTCAATCCGGAAAATGTCAAGAACTTTGAAAGTTTCTTCAAGTGCAGTCGCAAAAACCATCAAGAACTATGATGAAACTGGCTCTCATGAGGACCACCACAGGAATGGAAGACCCAGAGTTACCTCTGCTGCAGAAGATAAGTTCATTAGAGTTACCAGCCTCAGAAATTGCAGCCCAAATAAATGCTTCACAGAGTTCAAGTAACAGACAAATCTGATCGAATTGCTGCAAAGAAACCACTACTAAAGGACACCAATAATAAGAAGAGACCTGCATGGGCTAAGAAACATGAGCAATGGACATTAGACCAGTGGAAATGTGTCCTTTGGTCTGGAGTCCAAATTTGAGATTTTTGTTTCCAACCGCTGTGTCTTTGTGAGACGCGGTGTGGGTTGAACTGATTATCTCTGCATGTGTAGTTCCCACCATAAAGCATGGAGGAGGAGGTGTTATGGTGTGGGGGTGCTTTGCTGGTGACACTGTCTGTGATTTATTTAGAATTCATGGCTTCCACAGCATTCTGCAGCAATACGCCATCCCATCTGGTTTGGGCTTAGTGGGACTATCATTTGTTTTTCAACAAGACAATGGCCCAACACACCTCCAGGCTGTGTAAGGGCTATTTTACCAAGAAGGAGAGTGATGGAGTGCTGCATCAGATGACCTGGCCTCCACAATCCCCCGACCTCAACCCAATTGAGATGGTTTGGGATGAGTCGGACGGCAGAGTGAAGGAAAAGCAGGCAACAAGTGCTAAGCATATTTGGGAACTCCTTCAAGACTGTTGGAAAAGCATTCCAGGTGAAGCTGGTTGAGAGAATGCCAAGAGTGTGCAAAGCTGTCATCAAGGCAAAGGGTGGCTAATTGAAGAATCTCAAATATAAAATATATTTTGATTTGTTTAACACTTTTTTGGTTACTACATGATTCCATATGTGTTATTTCATGGTGTTGATGTCTTCACTATTATTCTACAATGTATAAAGAAAACCCCTTGAACGAGTAGGTGTGTCCAAACTTTTGACTGGTACTGTATATATATATATATTTTTTAATGCAATTGCAAAGTAGCTATACTCAATATTATAAAGAGGAAATTAGAGGCTTCCATAATTGACGAAATCAATTATTCCACTGACCAAACTTATACAGCACAAAAACATCCTGTGGCGTACTGCATTAGCATCAAATAGCCCCCGCGATATGCAACTTTTCAGGGAAGTTAGGAACCAATATACACAAGCAGTTAGGAAAGCAAAGGCTAACTTTTTCAAACAGAAATTTGCATCCTGTAGCACTAACTCCAAAAAGTTTTGGGACACTGTAAAGTCCATGGAAAATAAGAGCACTTCCTCCCAGCTGCCCACTGCACTGAGGCTAGGAAACACTATCACCACCGATAAATCTACAATAATCGAGAATTTCAACAAGCATTTTGCTACGGCTGGCCATGCTTTCCACCTGGCTACCACTACCCCGGCCACCAGCTCTGCACCCTCCGCTGCAACTTGCCCATGCCCCCCCCGCTTCTCCTTCACACAAATCCAGACAGCTGATGTTCTAAAAGAGCTGCAAAATCTGGACCCCTACAAATCATCTGGGCTAGACAATCTGGACCCTTTCTTTCTAAAACTAGCTGCCGAAATTGTCGCAACCCCTATTACTAGCCTGTTTAACCTCTCTTTCGTAACGTCTGAGATCCCCAGAGATTGGAAAGCTGCCGCGGTCATCCCCCTCTTCAAAGGGGGTGACACTCTAGATCCAAACTGTTACAGACCCATATCCATCCTGCCCTGCCTTTCAAAAGTTTTTGAAAGCCAAGTCAACAAACAGATCACCGACCATTTCGAATCCCACCGTACCTTCTCCGCTATGCAATCCGGTTTCCGAGCTGGTCATGGGTGCACTTCAGCCACGCTCAAGGTCCTAAACGATATTATAACCGCGATCGATAATAGACAGTACTGTGCAGCCGTTTTCATTGACCTGGCCAAGGCTTTCGACTCTGTCAACCACCGCATTCTTATTGGCAGACTAAATAGCCTTGGTTTCTCAAATGACTGCCTCGCCTGGTTCACCAACTACTTCTCAGATAGAGTTCAATGTGTCAAATCGGAGGGCCTGTTGTCTGGACCTATGGCAGTCTCTATGGGGGTGCCACAGGGTTCAATTCTTGGGCCGACTCTTTTCTCTGTGTATATCAATGACGTCGCTCTTGCTGCTGGTGACTCTCAGATCCACCTCTACGCAGACGACACCATTTTGTATACATCTGGCCCTTCATTGGACACTGTGTTAACAAACCTCCAAACGAGCTTCAATTCCATACAACACTCCTTCAGTAGCCTCCAACTGCTCTTGAACACTAGTAAAACTAAATGCATGCTCTTCAACCGAACGCTGCTTGCACCCGCCCCACCCGACTAGAATCACTACTCTCGACGGGTCTGACCTAGAGTATGTGGACAACTACAAATATCTAGGTGTCTGGTTAGACTGTAAACTCTCCTTCCAGACTCACATTAAGAATCTCCAATCCAAAGTTAAATCTAGAATCGGTTTCCTATTTCGCAACAAAGCCTCCTTCACTCATGCTGCCAAACATGCCCTCGTAAAACTGACTATCCTACCGATCCTTGACTTCGGCGATGTCATTTACAAAATAGCCTCCAACACTCTACTCAGCAAATTGGATGTAGTCTATCACAGTGCCATCCGTTTTGTCTCCAAAGCCCCATATAATACCCACCACTGTGACCTGTACGCTCTTGTTGGCTGGTCCTCACTACATATTCGTCGCCAAACCCACTGGCTCCAGGCCATCTATAAATCACTGCTAGGCAAATCCCCGCCTTATCTTAGCTCATTGGTCACCATAGCAACACCCACCCGTAGTCTGCGCTCCAGCGGGTATATCTCACTGGTCATCCCCAAAGCCAACACCTCCTTTGGCCGCAATTCCTTCCAGTTCTCTGCTGCCAATGACTGGAACAAATTGCAAAAATCTCTGAAGCTGGAGACACTTATCTCCCTCACTAACTTTAAGCATCAGTTGTCAGAGCACCTTACCGATCACTGCACCTGTACACAGCCCATCTGAAATTAGCCCGCCCAACTACCTCATCCCTATATTGTTATTTATTTTGCTCATTTGTACCCCAGTATCTCTATTTGCACATCATCTCTTGCACATCTATCATTCCAGTGTTAATACTAATTGTAATTATTTTGCACTATAGCCTATTTTATTGCCTTGCCTCCATAACTTGCTAAATTTGCACACACTCTATATTATATGTATTTCTGTTGTATTTTTGACTTTGTTTTGTTTTACCCCATATGTAACTCTGTGTTGTTGTTTTTATCGCACTGCTTTGCTTTATCTTGGCCAGGTCGCAGTTGTAAATGAGAACTTGTTCTCAACTGGTTTACCTAGTTAAATAAAGGTGAAATAAATAAAAAAAACTAAAAAAAAACTGACCATATTATGACTGATGGATATTTTCATTTCATGACATTGCTTAACTAGCTAATGTTTTTTCTCCATCCTAGTCACTACAGAAGTTCAGGAGAACTTCAAGTTGTGATTAGTCATAAAATATAATTTTGACTACAAATCCCACATTAAACATTTTGAGATATCCCCGCCCATTTTCGTATGATAGTTCATCACTCCAATTACCGTGAAGATATCCATGATCAACATGGAGTTTTGACCAACCAACAAAGTAACTCACCGTTTCAACGCGGTTTCCAGGAAGTGAGAATAAACGAAATAACCTCCCACATGTGAGCCTCATCGCACCACGCGAAGCCTGTGGAGAGGAACCGGCAGGAAAGGCATCGTCATTTCACCGACTACCGATTCAGCTAGCGCGGCAGCCGCAGCGAAGAGACCGGAGCGGCGTTGCCCGAGGCAGGTACGGTGTCGTCGGTTATGTTTGTAAATGCAAGGTGTCGGGTGGAACGGGTTGACAGTTGAAGATTTTAACGGTTTCTCGACGAAGCGAGGCGAAACTAGGTCGGGTTGCGACGTTAGATAACGAATAGGTTGGACACTAGAGCCTGGGAAGAGTGTGTAGGCCTAGTTTTTCCGCGCACTTTGCTGACACAGCAAGCGGGGGTATAGTCTTCTTCCTCCCGGTAGGTCGACCACTGCTGGTCCAGGTCCCTCTCCGACACCCGCTTGTAGCTCAGAGAGGTACACAACTGTCACCCTGGCAACCTAAAATCCGATGTAACGTTAGCCAGCTAGATGATGTTCTTCTCTTTCAGGTGCTGAAGCGATTACAGCAGGAAAGATGGCGGACGACCCTAACGCGGCAGACAGGAACGTGGAGATATGGAAAATCAAGAAACTGATTAAAAGTTTGGAAGCTGCCCGTGGGTAAGTGGTTGAATACCGGTGTGTGCATAATGTGTCTGCCTGGGTGTCGATATGCCGAAGTGAATGGACCGTGTGATAATAGCTGGATTAGTGAGGCCAAATTTGGGAGTGGTAGTTTAGCTATGGTAGCCGGTTAGCTTGCTAACACAGCCAACATTGTAATTAACGTTAGGTGCCACCAGTATTCGATGTTGATCGTATAATTATTATGGTGATTGCCGTGTTATTTGTACCTAGCTCGGTTGTTTGTATGTGCTGATGTCCGGCTTAACTAGTTAGTTACATGTTGTTAGCTAACGTTACCTAGCTGAAAACGCCGGCTTCCGTGGATGGGGTCTAGATTAACAGCGTGTTGGTGCGGTTATCACATTGACTCCGGTATGTTCCCATATGCTGCGATAGACTTAGCAGTTAGTAGCGACGTTGGCTTGCTATCAACATATGGCATTGAGCATGTCTTCTATTTGGGAGTGGAAAGCTTAAATCTATACTCTGAGTAGCAAGCAACAGTCAATTGCCGCGTCCTATTCTTCCTTTGGTGACAATGTGTAACTTTAGTTAACAAGCGGTCATCCATATTCATTTAGATAAGTAGTTGACAGAGATAGCTACGTGGCTTCCTTCGGATGTGACTAGGCAAAGGGGACTACTTTGCCCCCGAAGTATTCTTGTTGTCCACTGATGCAGAATCGACTGTCCTCTGCTAGCGTTACATTTCATTTACATTTTAGTCATTTAGCAGACGCTCTTATCCAGAGCGACTTACAGTTAGTGAGTGATACATTATTTTTTATTTTTCATACTGACCCCCGGTGGGAATCGAACCCACAACCCTGGCGTTGCAAACACCGTGCTCTACCAACTGAGTTACGTCCCTGCAAGGTTGACCATTTGACCTATATTCACAAGCCAGCTAGCTACCTGTGTGTATGCAGCGTCAGCGTGTATAGTGAATGCAGACAATGTGGCTCAGTGGAACTTCAGCGCAGTCTTTGGTGTCAAGGACAGAGCTTGTTGTTCGGTATGAAAACTGTGCCCCCCTCCCTCACCTTTCAGATAGTGGAAACTGGGAAGGTAATGTTTGGTGGCCAATGGTGTCAGATATTGTCAATGTTTAAGGGTGTCTGTGTCACACAAAGGTAGAAATGGGTCAGGTAATATTAGAGAATGATTGGAGGGGGCTGATGGGTGGAAGATTTGTTTTGATTGTGGAAGCGTATTCCTTTCTTTCAGAGATTGAGATATGACTAAGACAGTATTATTTACACAGACTGTGAATGTGTGTGTTTATGTTGTGTCTAACCATCTCTCCCTCTCTCCTCAGTAATGGAACTAGTATGATCTCGCTGATCATCCCCCCTAAGGACCAGATCTCCAGAGTGGCCAAGATGTTGGCTGATGAGTTTGGCACGGCCTCCAACATCAAGAGCAGAGTCAACAGGCTCTCTGTGCTCGGGGCCATCACCTCTGTACAGCAGAGACTAAAACTATACAACAAGGGTGAGTGACTGTCATTGTGTGTGCTTGGAGCCTTGACCTCCTCATAGCAGACTCCAAAGCTACAGCAAGGGTCAGTCTGTTCTTTGTTGTGTGTATTTACTATGGGTCACTGGGTCTTGCCTGTGTTGACTGAAAAGCCCTGTGTCTCTCCTGCAGTGCCCCCTAATGGCCTGGTGGTGTACTGTGGAACCATCGTGACAGACGAGGGCAAAGAGAAGAAAGTCAACATTGACTTTGAGCCTTTTAAACCCATCAACACCTCCCTGTACCTCTGTGACAACAAGTTCCACACTGAGGTAGGAGCTCAACTAATGTATGTCTGTCTGTCGCATGTTGTCACTAGTGTCTAATTGTCTCTACTGTAATGGAAATGCCCTCTGTCTTTCTCTCTCTCTCTCTCCAGGCGTTGACGGCCCTGCTGTCTGATGACAGTAAGTTTGGCTTCATAGTGATAGACGGTAGCGGGGCTCTCTTCGGGACGCTGCAGGGGAACACTAGAGAGGTGCTGCACAAGTTCACTGTGGACTTGCCCAAGAAACACGGTACGCTCCGCACATCTCACACAGACACACATACACGCAGACATAAGAACAAGAACATTACAGATGTTATTCCCCATCAATACCCTTTAGTCACTACAATTTCTCTCTCAGGCAGAGGAGGTCAGTCTGCTCTGCGCTTTGCCCGTCTGAGGATGGAGAAGAGACACAACTATGTGAGGAAGGTGGCTGAGACAGCTGTCCAGCTCTATGTGGCCAACGACAAGGTCAACGTGGCCGGAATGGTCCTAGCAGGGTCTGCCGACTTCAAGACTGAGCTCAGCCAGTCCGACATGTTCGACCCTGTAAGTGTGTGTGGTTGAGATAATCCATGGTTTATGCTGCATTAATCCTTACTGTGATCAGTTAATCCTTTGTCGGGCTGATGCTTTTGGTGTAATTCCTCTGTGATTTTCTGATTCTGAGTGAATCAAGCATTTCACGGCACACTAACCCCTGTTGTGTGTGTGCAGAGGTTACAGGCGAAGATTCTGAAGCTGGTGGACATCTCGTACGGAGGGGAGAATGGCTTCAACCAGGCCATCGAGCTGTCGGCCGAGGTCCTCTCTAACGTCAAGTTCATCCAGGAAAAGAAGCTCATAGGTCTGTTTGTGGCACGTTGAGGTTAGATTTTGGGTTATCCCAGCGAATGTGTGTCTGTTTGTGTTAGCTGTTTTTGTTAGGGTTAGTGCAGATTGTTTCCTTGTGAATGGTCATGATAATTAGTGTGATGATGATTGCTTCCCTTTCTCCATCCCCAATCACTAAAACAATTTCTTGGACCCTTTATTCCTCTCTTCTCCTCCATTCTCGCTCGCGCTCTGCAGGACGGTACTTTGATGAGATCAGTCAGGACACAGGGAAGTACTGTTTCGGGGTGGAGGACACACTCAAAGCCCTGGAGATGGGGGCTGTGGAGATCCTCATCGTCTATGAGAACCTAGACACCATGCGCTACATCCTTCGCCTGCACGGGGCTGAGAGCATCGGAACAGAGAACGGTACACACACGCACTCCCCATGTGCAGTATATCCTCTGGCACCATGAAGTAGAACTGAGAAGAGAACGCTACACACATGGTTTCTCATTCCCTGTCTTCATTGTGCTTTGTGTTTCAGATGAGAAGACTCTTTATTTAACACCCGAGCAGGAGAAAGACAAGTCCCACTTCACAGACAAGGAGGTAAGCCCTGTTCTCTATCCCTTGTTCTCACACGCAGGTACACACACACAGCGGTTGCCTTGACAACACTTTCTGTCCCTGAACCCATTCGGGTGGTTTAATTTTTGGTGTTGACTTGTTAACATTTCTTTGCTCTCAAACCTGTCCATTTGGTGTGTGTGTGTGCGCGTGCTCGCATGTTCACAGACGGGGCAGGACCACGAGCTGATTGAGAGCATGCCTCTGCTGGAGTGGTTTGCCAACAACTACAAGAAGTTTGGAGCCACGCTGGAGATCGTCACAGACAAGAGTCAGGAGGGGTCTCAGTTTGTCAAGGGCTTCGGAGGCATCGGGGGTGAGTCCACACCAACCAGTTGTTGTTATAGGATTATAACATGGGTGTCTTTGTTATGGTCATGTTGTGGTGGTAGTTCACAGCATGTTAGCATGAGATCAACTTCATAAACCTAATATTAGTAATGACTCTTCAGTCCCGCAACAGTCTTTATCTAGATAATTGACTTTTTCTTTATTTCTCGCTTTCAGGATGCTTGCGGTACAGGGTGGATTTCCAGGCCATAGATTACCAGGCAGAGGATGACGAGTTTTTTGATTTAGATGACTACTAGGTAGTCAGGGACTGAATAGGGGAGAAAGAAGGAAAAAAAGCTGAAGAATGACGAAATAAGGATAGAAAAATACCACCTTTTTTTCAGCAAGTGAGAGGGGGAGCCGAATTGACCATATAGACAGACATACAGTGCATTCAATTTCAAACACGCACACATGTACCCATTCATACACATTTCCACTAACGCTCACACAAGCTGAAGAGGAGTGAGATTTTCTTTCAATCCAGAGAGGGACAAAACCCTTCCTGAATGAATCCCTGCCTTAGAGTGCTGGTTCCTTCCCCTGGTTGGATTGACCTTGACTCAAATCCTTTGTTTGTTTATTTTTCTCCCCTCCATTTTGAATGAACACAACAGGAAGTTCCCAGCAATCCTCGCTCACTGACCCCCCGTCCGATTAAGACTTTGGACTCAATCCTCGCATATAGAACATATATTTCTTCCCCTCATCGGGTCCTTGCCCGCCCTCCTCCTATCCCCCCCCCCCCCCCCCCCTTAATGCTTTTTATAATTTTTTTGCATTTCATTTTTTTTACTGGTAACTGCTGCTGTAGAATTTAATTTTTTACCTGGGTTTCTGTAGAGGGGGAGGGGGGGTATTAAATTCGAACTGCTGAAAACCATTGCTACCTCCTCATCCGCTGTGGTCTCAATCATGTGGAGTATCTGTCGTTCCCAGAGGAGCTGGCTCTACCTGCTCCCCCACTTTATGAAAATGTTTATTTGACCCATAAGCAGTGGAACATGTCTGAATTGTTTATATGCCATACTGTGCATGTATTTTATACTGAACAAAAATATAAACGCAACATGCAACAATTTGAAAGATTTTTACTAAGCTACAGTTCATATAAGGAAATAAGTCAATTGAAATAAATGAGTTAAGCCCTAATCTATGGATTTCACATGACTGGGAATACAGAGATGCATCTGTAAAAAACAGCGGTGTGGATCAGAAAACCGGTCAGTATCTGGAGTGACCACTATTTGCCTCATGCAGTGTGACATCTCCTTCGCATAGAGTTTGATCAGGCTGTTGATTGTGCGCTGTGGAATGTTGTCCCACTCCGCTTCAATGGCTGTGTGAAGTTACTGGATATTGGCAGGAACTGTAACACACTGTTGTACATGTCTATCCAGAGAATCCCAAACATGCTTAATGGGTGACATGTCTGGTGAGTATGCAGGCCATGGAAGAACTGGGACATTTTCAACTTCCGGGAATTGTGTACGGATCCTTGCGTCATGCAGCTGTGCATTATCATTCTGAAACATGGGGTGATGGCGACGGATGAATGGCACGACAATGGGCCTCCGGATCTCGTCACAGTATCTCTGCATTCAAATTGCCATCGATAAAATGCAATTGTGTTCGTTGTCCGTAGCTTATGCCTGCCCATACCATAACCCCACCGCCACAATGGGGCACTCCGTTCACAACATGGACAAAAGCAAACCGCGTGCCATACACGTGGTCTGCGGGTTGTGACAGAGGCGGCTTATGGTAGAGAAATGAACATTCAATTCTCTGGCAACAGCTCTGGTGGTTATTCCTGCAGTCAGCATGCCAATTGCATGTTCCCTCAAAACTTGAGACATCTGTAGCATTGTGTTGCGTGACGAAACTGCACATTTTAGTGGCCTTTTACTTTCCTCAGCATAAGGTGCACCCGTGTAATGAGCATGCTGTTTAATCAGCTTCTTGATATGCCACACCTGTCAAGTGGATGGAATATCTTGGCAAATGAGAAAATGCTCACTGACGGATGTAAACAAATTTGTGCATAAAATTGGAGAGAAATAAGCTTTAGAACATTTTTTAGTCATTTTAGCAGACGCTCTTATCCAGAGCAACTTACAGTTAGTGCATACATTTACATTACATTTTAGTCATTTAGCATACATTTTCATACTGGCCCCCCGTGGGAAATGAACCCACAACCCTGGCGTTGCAAGCGCCATGCTCTACCAACTGAGCTACAGGGGACTATTCTGGGATATTTAATTTCAGCTCATGAAACATGGGACCAACACTTTACATGTTGCGTTTATATTTTGGTTCAGTGTATTTGGTGTGGATAGTAAGGATGATCGATTCTAGCCAATGGGGACCACCGCACTCAGGTTTTTGAAGTCTCGATCAACAGTGGTAAAAAAGGTAAGGAGAAAGTGGAATTCAGGAGATGAACACCATCACCCATTCTACACGTTTTATTAGTCACAAATATGTAAGAATCTATTTGCCCAGACATTGCTCAAGTTGGCCTATATATCCCTGTTCGAAGAGATACATGCCTAGATTGATGTCATTTTAGCCATTATATATACACTGTCAGTCTTTTCAAATGATCTGCTGCTTGTTTACTAGTGTCTACATTTGATTTACAGTGTTATATTACAAGTACTGCAGAATATGGTTTGCTTGCTTGCTCATCATACTCCTTCCTGTAAGATGCAAGTCATCTCTGAGCCTCATAGAAAGGATATTTAATATCTTTACAATAAGTGATTACTGATAAAACTTTGTGTTTCCCAGTATGGCAACATCATCTTCAACCATTTGCCCGTCTGTTTGTGGAGTCACTGGAGGTGTGTTCATTTCGTTTGAACTACAGGCTCCATGGTATGCTTTGCCTTGATTGCATTCGATTAGGAACCGGGCTGCCTCCCGGGCGTGAGGCAGGTGCCCCGTTCAAAGCCTACCGCGAAGTCTGCGCAAAACAAAAGTTACCTAATTAAGCACATGTAATAATTACTAAGATTCTGTGTTTCCCATGCAAAAGGTACCATGCTGCCTTGTTGACAAAATGACCAAGCAGCGTAGATTACAGTTCGATTTCAGAACGGCGCGCCTCCCTCCCCGCTTTCGCCCGATGACGTGCCGGGCATATGCCAGGTGCCCCGCGGCTCAGCATAATCGAATCTGCTTATTACACCTCAGTGACCGCGAGGTGTGGCTTGAAGCAATGAGTGACGTTTTTGAAGGGCATTGGCCATGCTGACCGCGTTCCACAACCCCTCCCCGTTTTTCAACGGGGTTGTTCAGTACAGCACCGTTTCCGTTCAATTGAACGTACCAGAACGTAAAAACGTACTAAATGCAGGCAGGGGAAAGCCTTGATAGATCGACAAGTCAATCATTATTGGGCAAGCCCTTTAAGGCACGCCTCTTTAGCATAGCTCGGCCAATCAGAGTGTCGGATTCATGAGGGAGTGCCCCATCCCCCACTAAACACAGCCCTGCCAGACAGTGGTTTAGGAAGTGAATGACGTCTCTGCATTTGCAGGCCGCGGACGCAGGGTTGGGTTTCTATTTTCACAGCCGAGATTCGGGGGGGAACAATAACATGGAGCCGGAGATGGAGGACAACACGTTGGAATTAATGGTAAGCTTTGGTGATTAGGTGCCCGGGGTTGCTATTGGGCCCGAAAAGGAGCCGTGGAGGCTTAAATCGAAGGCTAAACGGGGTACCAATCCGAACCGACGGTCAGGAGAGGTGGAGGAAAAATGAGGGGGAACTAGAAATAGAGGGAGGGCCTGAAAGAGCGATATTTTTCCTTGAGGATCCTGGTCCAGCGATTGACTAGGTCGTCGACACCTAGCTATCGTTGAAAGTGACAGGATAGTCCCTTATTTTTGCAGTAGCCAATTTGAATCAGTAACATGTAAAATAGTTGAAAGGTTACTGAAAGTCGTCAGCTGAAGAAAGCCAATATTTTTGGGGTAGCGTTTCACTGCAGTGACGCTGCGCCACTCGGCCCAGTGTCATAGTTAGCTAGCTAACTAGCTAGCCTGTTAGTTATGGACACAACGTACCTGACTAGCTATATAAATGTATATTAAAATCGTGTTAGCGCGCAGTCTTCATTGGTAGTTGATTAGCTAGCTGAACTAGCCACATGATCAGTCCAAAAGCCAATATATCATATTTCGGGAGGTTATAGCTGTTTGCCCAGAGTTCTAGCTTGCAAGTTTTCTAGTTGTTGGTCTGACATCATTTTTGATAGACATCTGCCTGTCAAAAGACTGGCAATTGGCTAACGTGAGAATACTACTACAGTGTTGGTAGCTAGCTAACGTTAGTAGCTGTAAACCGAGTTGATAGCTACAGTAAGCCAGATAATTACAGTAAAAGGGTCTGATCAAAAAGTAACCGATTTGGTTGCAGCCAGCACAACAGTTATCAGCCACAGTTGTTTGTTTTGGGAGAGAAAGTGAAATTCAACAGAACAAGACTGGCTCCTCACACCACAGCAAGGATAGCATTACCTTCACACTGAATGCAGGCAGGGGAAAGCCTTGAATGAATCTGTCAGGACTTGAGTTTTCCAATTTCCTATTTAGGTAAAAGTCACACCCCTCTCTTAAACACAACAACTTTAAAATTAGCCCTGCAAGTAAACTACATTGAACTTGAGCTAGGATACATTCCATGTTTCTGATCTATTTTCCCTCAGGCCTTCCCAGTACCCAGATGTAGCCTTTCCCCAACCTAGACCATATTAGATGGTCCTATTATATGGCCTACTTTCACTGAATTGTCTGGCAATGTACACTCATGTTGGGTTTGTTCTAGATTGTTTTCTGTGTGTGTGTCTGTGCATTTTGTCCCTATGTAAATCACTAACCACTTCAATAGTGTGAGGATGGCAGAGCAGAGGGCGGGGCATGAACAAAAATCCAAGGGCTGAAAATGGACAAACATGCCCGTTGCCCCTCCCACTCCTCTTCCTATCCCCACCCACTTCATATGTAATAATGCTTTTGTGTGTCTGACTATGCCTTGTGTTTGAAAGTGTGTGTATGTGTTTTTACGCTCACTGTGCAAATGTGTGTGTAGTTCTAATACTGGTTTTTCCCCTCACTACCCCCCAACTCCTCTTCTCCTCAAAAACACTGGTTTGGTTACACATCTCTCTCTCTCTTCTCAACAACAATCTGTTCTTTACTCTTTCCTATTCTGTTTGGCCATCATTCTCTTCGCTCCTAATTTCTCCCACTCCTTTTGTCTATGTATTCTATCACTCTGTCTCCACTCTTCTTCCTCCTGCGGCTCTATCTATCCTCTAAACCTCATCTCCTTTCCTCCCCCCTTCATCTCCCTTGTTCCCTCATCTCTCTTTTCCTCTATCCTCGTCACCCTTTCTCTCCCTCCCTGTCTCGTTCCTATTTTCTCTCCTTTCATTCCTCTCTCTCTCTCTCACACAGAGCTCTGTGCCTCGCTCTCTCTGGCTGGGCTGCTCCTCGGTGGCAGAGAGTTTGTGTGCACTCAGGTGCCAGCAGAGCATCCCCTCCACCCGGGCTCACAACCAGGTTCTGCTACTCTCTCCTCTTAATTCTGACCTACCTACCTACCTACTGCCCCACTCACCCCTCCCTCCTCCTCCTCCTCCCTCAGCCCTTCTCACCCCCTAACACCACACCACCACATACTGTGTCTTGCATCCTCCCATGGCCCTTTTGCCTTCCTGCCTCTCGCTCCCCAAAAACCTTCTCTTCTCTTGGGCACCTCTCTGGCATCTTCTGCTCCAAGGTAGATCCAGCCCAGCTTCCAGGAGATTTTGGCTTAAGTTGATATGTAGCCTCTTAGACAACGGTTGGTCACTGCAGACGAGCACTACCTGAAAGATGCTTCCATGTTTCCTGGGTAAAAAAAAGCTGAAGTGACACAAATAAAAAAATGCCATCAAAGAGCAAGTTGTTTTTTTGTTAACATTACACCATAAACTGAACATTGATGATAAGCCACTGTGAGCATAATAGGCTAACACATGAATCACAGGAACAGGGTTCTATCAAGCCTGGCCAAACCTAGCTAGTGCTGATCGAAGTGAAAGTTAAGCTTCTCGCTACTGTAAAGAGGAAGCGTTGCATGTTGTTTTAAAGAACCAAAAAATAGGCAAAATTCTGTGGTTATTGCCCAAGTTCACGTGATAAAAGTTGTTTAGTTAATCTGAATCAGAATAGCAGAGTTGGAGCTGCTGCTGGCTGGGGGGACAATAAGGAGAGGCTACCAGAGCACGTTGCCTGGGGAGCAGTGCTAGGTTGCCTGGAGGTGTGTAGGACAGGTGGTGCTTTAGGACCCCCCCGCCCTGCCTGTTAAGCGGAGAGTGAGGCTCCATGGTATGCTTGCCTGGGTGTCACTGGCTGCCTGTCCCTATAGCCTAGGCTGCTCTCTCTACACAACCTGTCTTATCTGTCTGTCTGCTTTGTACGGAACTGCTAGTGTCTGCATCAGCCTTGACCCCTGACCTTGTCTGTGTACCCGTCTGTCTGTCAACCCGTTTGTCTGTCCTGTTACTATTGGTCTAAAACAGTGGTCACCAACTGGTTGATCACGATCAACTGGTCGATCTCCTCCAATTCTGTAAAAAACCCAACAATAAAGACTTGCATTCCTATTATATAAAACATTTTTGTGCTGTACGGTTTAAGTTGTTATTCAGCACTGTCAGCACTTTGTTCTACACCTTTATAAGCCATAAAATGCGCGTTCTCCCTACTTCCACACGCTACAACCAGCACTGCAGCTGCAATCAATGAGTGTAGCAAAGTGTTCCGATAAGCTTGAGTTGATATTATTAGCAGCTTGTCTTTAATATTGAGGAATATTTCACTTTCTCTGGTCATAGGAGTAACAACATGAATTGGTACATGAGGCAAAAATAATGCAGTGTGACTTGAGTTTCGCCATCAGCTGAAAGACTGTGTCCCCTTTTCTCAGCGGAGGGCGGAGGGACGGTGAGGCGGGTGAGATGCAGCCTCACCGCTGCTCCCTCCCTCCCCTCAGACTGACCATCAGATCCAGCACATCAGTCCAGGAAAAAAATAAGAAGCAAATTATGCTCACTTAGCTGTGCCTCAAGTAATACAACAAATTATCTATTACCAGTGTGATCATATAACTACCTACATTTTAAAAAGAAAGAAGAACAACATTGGCCAGGCCATTCAACCATAGCCAATATGCAGAGATAATGTATTGGGCCTATAGCCTACTGCACAAACCTCATTGCTACAGAACTGTTTTTAATTTGATTTGTTAATGTTGCATAGGCAAAACACATTTTAAACTTTTTTTTATGTTTAAGAACATCTGAGCGGTAGATCTCGGCTTGCATTTTGACTCAAAGTGATCTTGACAGAAAAGGTTGGTGACCACTGGTCTAAAATGATCCAGTGCATTATCAATATCAGTTTAATTTTTGCAAATGAGATAGCCTACAGTAGCACGTCTCTCTTCTATCTGAGGAAATACCTTCTATGGTTGTCTTCTACCGACATCCATACACACCTGGACAGGGCTGTCAATAGTCTGACTGGTTCAGATGAAGTGTGTGTCAGGGACAAGGACATGTTACAAACCTGCGCTGTGTGTCTGAGCATTTTAATGGGATACAGGGAGAGCGTAAGCCGGTCTGGTCAAACCTCTAACAGTACTCCTCCCATCTCGCTCTCTTTCTCGCTTGCTCTCTTTCTCGCTCTCTTTCTTTCTTTCTCGCTCCCTTTCTTTCTCGCTCGCTCCCTCTCTTTCTCGCTCGCTCCCTCTCTTTCTCGCTCGCTCGCTCTCTTTCTCGCTCGCTCGCTCTCTTTCTCGCTCCTCTTTCGCTCGCCTTCTCTCTCTTTCTCGCTCGTCCTTCGCTCTCTTGCTCGCTCCTCCTCCCGTCTCTCTTTCTCGCTCGCTCGCTCTCCTTTCTCGCTCGTCTCGTCTCTCTTTCTCTCGGCTCTCGCTTCTGCTCTCTTTCTCGCTCCTCGCTCTCTTCTCTCTCGCTCGCTCGCTCTCTCGCTCGCTCCTTTTTCTCGCTCTCCTCTCGCTCCTCTCTTTCCGCTCGCTCTTCTTTCTCGCTCCCCCTCTCTCTCTCGCTCCTCGCTCTCTCGCTCCCTCGCTCTTCGCTCGTCTCCGCTCTCTTTCCTCGCTCGCCTCTCTTCCTTCTCGCTCCTCTCTTTCTCTCGCTCGCTCTTTCTCTCGCTCCTCCTTCTCTCTTCTCCTCGCTCTTCTTTCTTCTCGCTCTTTTCTCTCGCTCTCTCTTTCTCCTCGCTCGCTCTTTCTCTCTCTGCTCCCTCTCTCTCCTCGCTCGCTCTCTTTTCTCTGCTCCCCTCGCTCTTTTCTCTCTCGCTCGCTCTTTTCTCTCGCTCGCTCTCTTCTCGCTCGCTCTCTTGCTCCTCGCTCGCTCTTTTCTCTCTCTCGCTCCTCGCTCTTCTTTTCCTCGCTCTTCTCTCGTCTCGCTCTTTCTCTCGCTCGCTCTTTGCTCTCTCTCGCTCGCTCTTTCTCTTTCTCGCTCTTCGCTCGCTCTTTCTCTCTCTCCTCTCTCTCTGCTCGTCTTTTCTCGCTCGCTCTTCTTTCCGCTCGCTTTCTCTCTCTCTCGTCCTCGCTCTTTTGCTCTCTCTCGCTCGCTCTTTTCTCTCGCCTCGCTCTTTTCTCTCTCGCCTCTGCTCTTTTCTCGCTCGCTCGCTCTTCTCGCTCGCTCTTTCTCTCTTCGCTCTTCTCTCTTGCTCCTTTCTCGCTCGCTCTTTTTCTCTCGCTCGCTCTTCTTCTCGCTCTCTCTTGCTCCTCTCGCTCGCTCTTTGCTCTCTCTCGCTCGCTCTTTTGTTCTCTCGTCGCTCTTCTTCTCTCTCGCTCGCTCTCTCTTTCCTCCTCTTCTCGAGCTCTTTTTCGCTCTCCCCTCTCTCGCTCGTCTCTTTCCTGCTCTTCGCTCTCTCTCTCTTTCTCTCTCCGCTCGCTCTTTCTCTCTCGCTCCGCTCTTTCGCTCTCGTCGTCGCTCTTCTCGCTCGCTCTTTCTCTCTCTCTCTCGTCTGCTCTTTCTGCTCTTCTCTTCGTCTCGCTCCTTTGTCTCCTCTCTTCCGTTCTTTCCTCCTGCCTCGCTTGCTTCTCTCTGCAGTCTGCTCTTTCTCTCTCTCTCTCGCTCGTCTTTCTCGCTCTCCCATCATCTTTCCTGTCGTCTCTTTCCTCGCTCGCTCTTTCTATCTCTCTCTCGCTCTTTCTCTCTCGCTCGCTCTTTCGCTCTCGCTCGATCGCTCTTTTGCTCTCTCTCACTCGCTCTTTCTCGCTCTCTCTCGCTCTCTATCGCGAGAATCACGTCTAGGGCCGAGCTCGTAGACACTACCTTCCCCGTTCTCTTGTCGTGGTGGTTGGAAAGTTGGGTACTACCAGATGATGGTTTCGTTACTGTAGGGTTTGTCTAGCAGCCAGTGACAACCACATGCTCCTGTTTAATTTCCTGTCCAGACTGCACATCACAGGCAGAGGAGATGGAGATCCGCTTTTTTACGTTGCCGTGTGTGTGAGATTGTACGCTGTACATTCATGTGTTACTTTACCTTTTAATTCACTCTAATCAGTCATGTTGTCTCTCCATACAGAACACAACAGTAATGTTGTTGTCTCTCCATACAGGACACATCAGTCATGTTGTCTCTCCATTCAGAACACATCAGTCATGTTCTTGTCTCTCCATTCAGAACACAACAGTCATGTTGTCTCTCCATACAGAACATCAGTCATGTTGTCTCTCCATTCAGAACACATCAGTCATGTTCTTGTCTCTCCATACAGAACACATCAGTCATGTTCTTGTCTCTCCATACAGAACACATCAGTCATGTTCTTGTCTCTCCATACAGGAACACATCAGTCATGTTGTCTCTCCATACAGGACACATCAGTCATGTTGTTGTCTCTCCATTCAGAACACATCAGTCATGTTGTTGTCTCTCCATTCAGAACACATCAGTCATGTTGTTGTTGTTGTCTCTCCATTCAGAACACATCAGTCATGTTCTTGTCTCTCCATACAGGACACTTCAGTCATGTTCTTGTCTCTCCATACAGAACACATCAGTCATGGAGTCACAGAACCACGTAGACGACCTCTCCCCAAAGAAAACCACAATTCTCACCAAGGTGTGTGTGTAGGTGGATTATGAGTGTTTGTGTAATGTGTATTAGAGATATTAAATCATATAATGTATCAATCGTCCTTAAAAAAGCACTTAAGTTATGACAATGGGAAATTAGATTTCAGTGGGAAAGGAACTCGTAGTGAAGTGTGTGTTTATGGATGTGTGTGTGTGTGTGTGTTAGGGATGTGCATCTTTCCCATTCAAGACGATTCTATACATATTTACATACATGGGCTATGATACAGGAGCGATACGTTTTAGTTTGAAAGTTTATGCATTTGTTGCATTAACATTCATTTTAAATTCGAATCTGCTGTTGATAGAGCGCATGAGCTGGGCCTTTGAGCTGGATCTGTCAGAGCTGACATCTGTTTGTTGTGTGTATGTATGTAAATGATGTACAGTGGGAGAAAAAAAGTATTTAGTCAGCCACCAATTGTGCAAGTTCTCCCACTTAAAAAGATGAGAGAGGCCTGTAATTTTCATCATAGGTACACGTCAACTATTACAGACAAAATGAGAAAAAATTCTCCAGAAAATCACATTGTAGGATTTTTAATGATTTTATTTGCAAATGATGGTGGAAAATAAGTATTTGGTCAATAACAAAAGTTTCTCAATACTTTGTTATATACCCTTTGTTGGCAATGACACAGGTCAAACGTTTTCTGTAAGTCTTCAAGGTTTTCACACACTGTTGCTGGTATTTTGGCCCATTCCTCCATGCAGATCTCCTCTAGAGCAGTGATGTTTTGGGGCTGTCGCTGGGCAACACGGACTTTCAACTCCCTCCAAAGATTTTCTATGGGGTTGAGATCTGGAGACTGGCTAGGCCACTCCAGGACCTTGAAATGCTTCTTACGAAGCCACTCCTTCGTTGCCCGGGCAGTGTGTTTGGGATCATTGTCATGCTGAAAGACCCAGCCACATTTCATCTTCAATGCCCTTGCTGATGGAAGGAGGTTTTCACTCAAAATCTCACGATACATGGCCCCATTCATTCTTTCCTTTACACGGATCAGTCGTCCTGGTCCCTTTGCAGAAAAACAGCCCCAAAGCATAATGTTTCCACCCCCATGCTTCACAGTAGGTATGGTGTTCTTTGGATGCAACTCAGCATTCTTTGTCCTCCAAACACGACGAGTTGAGTTTTTACCAAAAAGTTCTATTTTGGTTTCATCTGACCATATGACATTCTCCCAATCCTCTTCTGGATCATCCAAATGCACTCTAGCAAACTTCAGACGGGCCTGGACATGTACTGGCTTAAGCAGGGGGACCCGTCTTGCACTGCAGGATTTGAGTCCCTGGCGGCGTAGTGTGTTACTGATGGTTAGGCTTTGTTACTTTGGTCCCAGCTCTCTGCAGGTCATTCACTAGGTCCCCCCGTGTGGTTCTGGGATTTTTGCTCACCGTTCTTGTGATCATTTTGACCCCACGGGGTGAGATCTTGCATGGAGACCCAGATCGAGGGAGATTATCAGTGGTCTTGTATGTCTTCCATTTCCTAATAATTGCTCCCACAGTTGATTTTCTTCAAACCAAGCTGCTTACCTATTGCAGATTCAGTCTTCCCAGCCTGGTGCAGGTCTACAATTTTGTTTCTGGTGTCCTTTGACAGCTCTTTGGTCTTGGCCATAGTGGAGTTTGGAGTGTGACTGTTTGAGGTTGTGGACAGGTGTCTTTTATACTGATAACAAGTTCAAACAGGTGCCATTAATACAGGTAACGAGTGGAGGACAGAGGAGCCTCTTAAAGAAGAAGTTACAGGTCTGTGAGAGCCAGAAATCTTGCTTGTTTGTAGGTGACCAAATACTTATTTTCCACCATAATTTGCAAATAAATTCATTAAAAATCCTACAATGTGATTTTCTGGAGAAAAAAAATCTCAATTTGCACAATTGGTGGCTGACTAAATACTTTTTTCCCCCACTGTATGTCTATGGTGTATGTACACTATATATACAAAAGTATTTGGACACCTTAAAATTAGTGGATTCGGCTATTTCAGCCACACCCGTTGCTGACAGGTGTATAAAATCGAGCACACAGACATGCAATCTCCATAGACAAACATTGGCAGTGGAATGGCCTTACTGAAGAGCTCAGTGACTTTCAACGTGGCACTGTCACCACTTATCCAACAAGTCAGTTCGTCATATTTCTGCCCTGCTAGCGCTGCCCCGGTCAACTGTAAGTGCTGTTATTGTGAAGTGGAAACATCTAGGAGCAACAACGTCTCAGCAGCTAAGTGGTAGGCCACACAAGCTCACAGAACGGGACCGCCGAGTGCTGATGCTCGTAGCGCGTAAATAGTGTCTGTCCTCTGTTGCAACTTTCACTACCGAGTTCCAAACTCTCTCTGGAAGCAATATCAGCACAATAACTGTTTGTCGGGAGCTTCATGAAATGGGTTTCCATGGCCAAGCAGCTGCACACAAGCCTGGAGTGATGTAAAGCTCGCTGTCATTGGACTCTGGAGCAGTGGAAACACGTTCTCTGTAATAATGAATCACGCTTCACCATCTGGCAGTCCGACAGACGGATCTGGGTTTGGCAGATGCCAGGAGAACGCTACCTGCCCCAATGCATAGTGCCAACTGTAAAGTTTGGTGGATGAGGAATAATGTTCTGGAGCTGTTTTTCATTGTTCGGGCTAGGCCCCTTAGTTTCAGTGAAGGGAGATCTTAACGCTACAGCATACAATGACATTCTAGACGATTTGGGGGAAGGCCCTTTCCTGTTTCAGAGCAGACTGACGACCTCTGCCTGAGAGAGAGAGAAATTGTAGTGACTAAAGGGTATTGATGGGGAATAACATCTGTAATGTTCTTGTTCTTATGTCTGCGTGTATGTGTGCCCGTGCACAAAGCGAGGTCCGTACAGAAATTGTTTGTCGAGATCGTTGTGGAAGAACTTGACTGGCCTACACAGAGCCCTGACCTCAACCCAATCGAACACCTTTGGGATGAATAGGAACGCCGACTGCGAGCCAGGCCTAATCGCCCAACATTAGTGCCCGACCTCACTAATGCTCTTGTGGCTGAATGGAAGCAAGTCCCTGCAGCAATGTTCCAACATCTAGTGGAAAGCCTTCCCAGAAGAGTGGAGGCTGTTCTAGCAGCAAAGGGGGGACCAACTTCATATTAATGCCCATGATTTTGGAATGAGTTGATCGACCAGCAGGTGTTCACGTACTTTTGTGTGTCTATGGCGTATACCCCTCAAACGCAACTCTGGCCCTCGAAGCTGGTTCCACTGCGTTTAAAAATAAATTGTTCCCCTCTAATCAGGGACTGATTTAGACTTGGGACACCAGGTGGGTGTAATTAATTATCAGATAAAACATTTACATTTTAGTCATTTAGCAGACGCTCTTATCCAGAGCGATTTACAGTTAGTGAGTGCATACATTATTATATTTTTATTTTTCATACTGGCCCCCCGTGGGAATCGAACCCACAACCCTGACGTTGCAAACGAACCCACATCCCTGCCGGCCATTCCCTCCCCTACCCTGGACGACGCTGGGCCAATTAAAACCAGCAGCCTCTGGACCTCCTAGGTTAAGAGTTGAATACCCCTGCTGTGAACTATTTAGGCACCTGATCAGAGCCATAAGGAGACTAGGCATCTACCACCCCACTACCAGATTAGAGCCATAAGGAGACTAGGCATCTACCACCCCACTATCAGATTAGAGCCATAAGAGAGACTAGGCATCTACCACCCCACTACCAGATTAGAGCCATAAGGAGACTAGGCATCTACCACCCCACTATCAGATTAGAGCATTAAGAGAGACTAGGCATCTACCACCCCACTATCAGATTAGAGCCATAAGAGAGACTAGGCATCTACCACCCCACTACCACTATCAGATTAGAGCCATAAGGGAGACTAGGCATCTACCACCCCACTATCAGATTAGAGCCATAAAAGAGACTAGGCATCTACCACACCACTACCACTATCAGATTAGAGCCATAAGGGAGACTAGGCATCTACCACCCCACTATCAGATTAGAGCCATAAGGGAGACTAGGCATCTACCACCCCACTATCAGATTAGAGCCATAAGGGAGACTTAGGCATCTACCACACCACTATCAGATTACAGCCATAAGTGAGACTAGGCATCTACCACCCCACTACCACTATCAGATTAGAGCCATAAGGGATGATCTACACACATAAGATAAGCCATAGGCTAGCATCTACCCCCCACTACCACTATCAGATTAGAGCCATAAGGGAGACTAGGCATCTACCACACCACTATCAGATTAGAGCCATAAGGGAGACTAGGCATCTACCACCCCACTATCAGATTAGAGCCATAAAAGAGACTAGGCATCTACCACACCCACTACCACTATCAGATTAGAGCCATAAGGGAGATTTAGGCATCTACCACCCCACTACCACTATCAGATTAGAGCCATAAGGAGACTAGGCATCTACCACACCCACTATCAGATTAGAGCCATAAGGGATAGATTCCACCCCATACATTGAGGCATAAGGTAGATAGGCCTAGTCCTCCCTTATGGCGTAATTGAGTAAGTGGGTGGTAGCATCCTACTCCCTTATGGCTCTAATCTGATGGTGGTAGATGCCTAGTCTCCCTTATGGCTCTACTCTGGATAGTGGTATTGGGTGGTAGATTGCCGAGTCTGCGTTTTAAAATGGATTCTAATCATGATAGTGTGGTGGTAGATGCCTATCAATTGAAGAGCCATAAAATACCACTAAGGCATCTACCACACAACCACTACCACTATCTAGATTAGAGCCATAAGGGAGACTAGGCATCTACCACACACCACTAACAGATTGAGGAGCCATAAGGGAGACCTATGGCATCTACCACCCCCACTGATCAGATTAGAGCCCATAAAAGGGATTAGGGCATCTAACCACCCCACTATCAGATTAGAGCCATAAAGGAGACTAGGCCAATCTACCCACCCACTATCAGATTAGAGCCATAAAGGAGACTAGGCATCTACCACACCACTATCAGATTGAGCCATAAGCGAGACTAGGCATCTACCACCCCCGCACGACCACTATCAGATTAGAGCCATAAGGAGACTAGCATCTACCACACCACTATAGATTAGAGCCATAAGGAGACTAGGCATCTACCACACCACTATCAGATTAGAGCCATAAGAGAGACTAGGCATCTACCACCCCACTATCAGATTAGAGCCATAAGGGAGACTAGGCATCTACCACCCCACTACCACTATCAGATTAGTGGGGGCGGGGGGGCAATGTAGCCAATGTTTTTTTGTCCCCCCACTTTGGTTCTGAAATCATTTCATCCACAAATTAACTTGTCATTTGTGCAGATTAAGTGTTTGAGCTAGTAATGTTTCAATATTTAGATGTTTTTAGTGAGCTTATTTTCTCCTCCTGCTTTGGCCATGCAGTGCGCCTCACAAAGTGATTTCTGTCCTCATTATCAAATGATCAACTTTACCCTGTATATCTAAAAATGACCATATACACTGATTGTTTAAAGCGCAACCAAAACTATTGCTGATGGTGAACCTGAACAATCAAAATAAAATCTATTGTAAGCCCGGTTCAGCAGGTATATCCAGATGACTCTGGTAGCTTACTTTTATTCCGGTAAAACACCATTTTCAACAGGCATAGATGACAATAACCTAGCAAATTCCATAGGATGTCACTCAACTAATGAAGCCTAATAGCGCGCAAGCCATTTTAGCATTTGAATGCTGAAGGCGCTGCGCAGATGTACAAGATCAGGACTAGGTCGCCTACCTCGCGAATCTGGGCACAGTGTGCAGTTTGACTAGGCTACTGATATTGCCTGGGGTTGTTCGGCATGCAAAATGACTGTCAACAGTTACATGCAGTTTGACGCTGAAGGAGAGGACGCATCATTTTTCACAAAAGATGAGCGGTATTTTCGGAAGGTAGAAAGAAAGTAATATGAGCAACAACAAAAAATGTGAACTAGCAATTTCTAAAGTTTGAATAGATTTTCTGACCAATGCATGCTACATTAGGGTTGGTTTGGGGTCCGCGGACCAATGCACTTGTTTCTTAAATATTTGAATCGGGGACTGATTCGTATCGGTGAATCATTACATCCCGTGTGCGTCAGTAACCCCTCTGTCCTTTCCCTGTCAGCTTAGTAACGGTCCTGTAATGACAGGCTCTCGTAAGCGTCCGTCAGAGGGGAACTGTGACAAGGAGAAGGAGCAGTGCATCGCCCTGTTTGACCAGTGGTCTGAGACTGTCCAGGTGGAGTTTGTAGAACACCTCATCTCCCGTATGTGTCACTACCAACACGGCCACATCAACTCCTACCTCAAACCCATGCTCCAACGTGACTTCATCACAGCGCTGCCAGGTAACACACACACACACACACACACACTTTCAGACTCTCGAACACACTCCACACACTCATTTGAATGCTTACACACACACACACACACCACTCAGACTTCTGAACTCTCCCATATTCACACACTCATCCACACACACACTCCTTTCTTTCTCTCTCTTTCTCTCTTTCTAGCCCAGGGTCTGGACCACATAGCAGAGAACATCCTGTCGTTCCTGGATGCGCAGTCTCTGTGCTCGGCAGAGCTGGTGTGTAAGGAGTGGCAGAGGGTGATCTCAGAGGGTATGCTCTGGAAGAAACTCATAGAACGCATGGTGCGCACAGACCCCCTCTGGAAAGGCCTGTCAGAGAGGCACCAGTGGTGAGCACACACACACACACACACTGAAACAATTACACCAGACTTCTTTGAATTCTGAAACTTGAGTTCTCATTGGCTTGTTTTTCTGTCCGTCATCTCAGGGAGAAGTATCTGTTCAAGAACCGAACGACAGAAGTCCCGCCCAACTCCTACTACCACTCCCTCTACCCCAAGATCATCCAGGACATAGAGGTAAGACTGTAGCTCTGTCCACAAACAACCCCTAGCCCTTTTTGGTTTCACAGGGCTCTGGTGTAAAGTAGGACACTCTATAGGGAATAGGGAATGCCATTTGGGAAGCATGTTGTGTACCTATAGACGTTGATGAAAAGGCTTATTAATCTTGATGGAGAAGAGATCTATTTTCCTCTCTCACCTAATCTTGTTGTTCTCCCCATCAGTCTTGATCTCTTGTTTTTCCTCGCTCACATATCCACTCCTCTTTCTCTCTGTTCTCTCTGTTCTATACCTGCCCTGTTGTCTTCTTGTGTATCCCCTCTCCTCTCTCTTCTGCCCACTACCTGTGAACCCCCCTCCCTGGTCTCCTCTACTCTACCCCCCCCCTCCCTGGTCTCCTCTACTCTACCGCCCCCTCCCCTGGTCTCCTCCCCTTCCACCCCCTTCTCTCTCCTCCCCTCCACCCCCTCTCGCTCTCCTCTCTTCCCCTTCTATCTACTCTCTCTCCTCTCTTCCCCCCCCTCTCTCTCCTCCTTTTCCCTCTCTCTCTGTAGACTATTGAGGCTAACTGGCGGTGTGGCAGACACAACCTGCAGAGGATCCAGTGTCGGTCAGAGAACAGTAAAGGTGTCTATTGCCTCCAGTACGACGACGATAAGATCATCAGTGGCCTTAGAGACAACTCCATAAAGGTGTGTGTGTGTGTGTGTGTGTGTACCTGTCTTTTTGACGGGACAAGATGGATGAATCATCATGTACAGACAGTATTACCGACAATACCTTTTTGAAGTGAAACAGCAGCTTGTCTCTCTCGGAGAACAGACATTAATTAAAAGATGAAAGGAGTAATTTTCCCACTCTTTGTGTGTTCCACTCATCTGTCTGTCCTGGAGGGAGAAAGGGAGGGGGTGAGGATTTGTCTTGTTATTGGTTTAGAGGGGGAGACTGTGTCTGACTGAGGTACCCAGGAAAGGGCTAGCCTGCCCAGCTCCAGAGCTCTAGTGCACAGAGATCCCACCACACTGCAGGGAAATGGGGCATGAACAATACTCTGAGACCAGCTCATTCTTACCCTGACCCAAATCTCCTGCTCACTTTCTCTCTGTCCCTCTCTGTGTGTATAGATCTGGGACAAGCAGTCTCTGGAGTGTCTGAAGATTCTGACAGGTCATACAGGCTCAGTGTTGTGTCTGCAGTATGACGAGAGGGTCATAGTCACTGGCTCCTCCGACTCCACTGTCAGGTATGACACGGCCGTCATCATACACACACTTGGGGTTCGTCCAAATGGCACCCTATTCACTCTGTAGTGCACTAGTTTTGACCAGGATCCATAGGACTGGTCAAAAGTAGTGCACTACAGTATATAGGGAATACTGTGCCATTTGGGACACCTATACGGTACCTCCACACATATCTAACTACGATATGACTTCTTCATGATTAGGTCCATAGAAATACATATAGAATCCCTAGAATGGACATTGGCATCCTAGAAACGTGACTAAAAAGCTTCCTTGGTCAGGATAGCCAACCATGTCGGTTTGCATCAGTCTCCACATCTCTCTGCTTCACCCCATTCCCCCCACAGCCATCTGTGATCTGTCTTCAATCACTGTGTCCCCCAAATGGCACCTTATTCCCTATGAAGTGCACTGCTTTTGACCAGGGCCCATAGGGATCTGGTCAAAAGCAATGAACTACTTAGGGAATAGTGTACCATTTGGGACGCAATCACAGTCTGCTTCACTGTTAGTTCCGACTGTCACACTAGCCTGCCCTCCGAGTAGCCGAACATGGAGAGCCTTTAGCAGTGGCACTCTGCCTTGAGATTTATCTGTGAGATATCTGTCTATATATGAAACCTTCCTCCACATGTATTTATAGCTAGTGTGCTGCCCAGCCATCTCTCTCTTAGATACAGTAGCTATATCCACCATCTGTGAATGCCAGTCTCTCTACCACACTTAATACAGTCTGTGCTTCACTCTATCGTCTGGAGCCACACACACACACCGATTGTTGGCGTTGCCTGAAGAGATTGATATTTCAATTATATCGTCAACATTTCTCACCCTTCAGTATAGGTCTAACTAACTGTTAGATTTCCTATCTTTGACACAGTGTACAATTTGGACAGACTGTTGAGTGATTGTCAATATGGTTAGCTAACATTTTGCCTGCTGCACACAAGCTCAACCTTCACACACTCATTACTTCACTATCCAAGGAAAATGTGACTTCACTTCCTTAGCAACGGCTTGACGGGCACTTGTTTGTGGCTTTGAGTGTCAGCTTTTCCAGTGTGTGTTTGATCCTCTCTCCCTGCCCAACAGTGCAACTCAATAAAAACGTTGTTAACGGCTGGTCCCGTGTGTGTGTGTTGACTGGGACTCTGCCCAGTGTATCTGTCTGTTTGCAGTGCTTTCACTAATAAGTCTCTTTCACTCACGCTCTCGTTTTCTTTGTTTTTACAACTTTCCCTCTTTTTCCCCCTCTCCCTATCATACCCTGTCTCTCCACCCCTCTTTTCCCTCTCGCTCCTGTCTTTCTCTCTCCCCCTTCCTTCTCTCTCCCCCACGCTCCTGTCTTTCTCTCTCTCCCCCTTCCTTCTCTCTCCCCCTCGCTCCTGTCTTTCTCTCTCCCCCTTCCTTCTCTCACTCCTGTCTTTCTCTCTCCCCCTTCCTTCTCTCTCCCCCTTCCTTCTCTCTCCCCCTTCTCTCTCGCTCTCTCTTGCTCCCCCCCCCCGCAGGGTGTGGGACGTGACGTCAGGTGAAGTATTGAACACTCTGATCCATCACAACGAGGCGGTGCTCCACCTGCGCTTCTGTAACGGTCTGATGGTGACGTGTTCTAAGGACCGCTCCATCGCCGTGTGGGACATGGCCTCGCCCACCGACATCAGCCTCCGGCGGGTCCTCGTGGGGCACCGCGCCGCCGTCAACGTGGTCGACTTCGACGACAAATACATTGTGTCGGCGTCGGGAGACCGCACCATTAAGGTGAAAGGGGCGTGTGTAGATAGATCTTGGGATATAGAATGTGGGGCTTATGTGTGTGCACATGAGTATGTGATGTCTCTACAGTAGTGGATATTGGAGTTGTTTCATGTTCATATTGATGTGGGGCATCATGAGTGTCTCTCCATCTCTGCTGCCCCCTGTAGGTGTGGAGCACCAGTACGTGTGAGTTTGTACGCACGCTAAACGGACATAAGCGAGGCATCGCCTGCCTGCAGTACAGAGACAGACTGGTGGTCAGCGGCTCCTCTGATAATACCATACGGTAGGAGAGTGTGTGCGTTTTCTAGTTTCACTAGGTTTAATCGGCGTGGTGGGATGTGTGTCTGTTGGTCATGACACAGGGTTCCCCCAAGGTGCTTAAATTAAAGTACTGGAATACCTTGAAAATCAAGTTGGTACATAAAGTACTTGAATTAAAATGAGAAGAACAGACAATGATCAAATGTTAATGAAAAATATTAGAAAAATATGTTGTTCTTGTGAATACATTTCCAGGCAGACTACAGAGTTATATTTCCTCACGCGTTTCGTGCTGTGGTTGCCAGGCGAGTTTGCTCATTCCACCCACACTGCCACTCAGCCAGGCAGGTACAGAACTGATTAAGCGCTGCCAAACGTCACATCGACAGCTAAAATGCCGGGCAAATGTAGATTCAATCCTACCTTTTGTGCGTATGGAAAATGTCTAGGATCTTTTATTTCACTTTACATGTTGCGTTTTTATATTTTTGTTCAGTATAGTTTACCCACCTTTTTACCACTACATCACTGGACTCAACCAACCCACACTGTGTAAGGTGCCAAATATGTGTCAGACATTGACATTGTGAGCATGGGTGAATCGGCCCTGAAGAGCCACATGAAGGGGGATCCCTGAAGCTGCATCCTGCGCTGTCGCCAGTTCTACATTGTGATTTTTTTTCTCTGCAACAACCTCCAGAGCTTTTTTGCCAATAGCCTCAAACACGGGGCGCCCGCGATATTCTGCTTTATCAAGCGCCAGCCGTGCTCCTGCCACTCACACTGATATTAGTGCTTGAAAAAGTACTTGAAAGTCCTTGAATTTGACTTGCCACTGTCTGTATGAACCCTAATGAGATACAATGTGTGTGTGTTAATGTATGGTCTCCAGGTTATGGGATATTGAGTGTGGAGCGTGTTTGCGAGTGTTGGAGGGTCATGAGGAACTGGTCCGCTGCATTCGCTTCGACAACAAGAGGATTGTCAGTGGTGCCTACGACGGGTGAGACACACAGTAAAACAGTTTACGGATTGATCGTTGTCTTCTTCCAACAAACACACACTGTTGTTCTGACCTTGTCTCCTCTCACTGCAGTAAGATAAAGGTGTGGGACCTGCAAGCTGCTCTGGACCCACGAGCCCCAGCCAGCACCTTGTGCCTGCGCACACTGGTGGTGAGTTTCTTTGTGTGTGTGACTCCGTCAAGGTGTTTGAGTGTTTTAATGTGTCTCTGGTCTGTTGTTGGCAGTGACCTTACGTGGTTGTCATGGTAATGTTTTTTTGTTTTTTTCAGGAGCACTCGGGACGTGTGTTCCGGCTGCAGTTTGACGAGTTCCAGATCATCAGCAGTTCCCATGACGACACCATCCTCATCTGGGACTTCCTGAATGTGTCGACCAATGGACAGTCAGAGGGCCGGTCCCCCTCACGGACCTACACCTACATCTCCAGATAGCAGGTAATACAAACACACACACACACACACACTGGCTGAAACTCTGGCTTGTAGTTGCTGACCTGTCTCTGTCCTGCAGGTGGCGCCATCCACTGCAGTGAGTCCTGGAGGAGCTGAGATCTGATTGGCTGATGGAGAGTGTGTTGCAGAGAGGAGCTCAACTCGTTGTGTTCTTCCTCATCCTTTTGTCCATACCCCCGTTCTGACAAGGACTCTCCCACCACACCCCTGAAACACACACACACCTGCACGTTCATATTCTCCCCAATCTACAGTAACTCACAACAGTGGACAAGACATATCTTACTCCTTACCTTAGCAAATCCCTTCCCTTAAGAAGTCCTACCTTAAGCTCTATTTCTTCAGTTCTCACCCCCCAACCCAACCCAACCCTGCCTAGACACACGGATGGACAGAGAATGACCTTGGCGCTGCAGAGTGGGAGAGAGAGACTCTTGAACTCAGCTCTGAGAGATGGATGAGAGATGGAGTGAGTAAAGGAGGGAGGAATAAAGAGCTCTCCCTCTCACTCCTCCATCTTTCCTTGTTCCTTCTCTTCTTCTGCCTGGAATGAACAGTTGTTCGGCTCACACACTCAAGTGTTTGTGTGTGTGTGTGGAGACTTGGGGAAATCCGGCATTGAGGAAGAGGAGACTGGGCTTGTCGCCATGGAAACAGACGTGCATGTTGAGGTTGCCGGGGATACAGCGTCCTGGCAACACTCCTTTTTTCTTTTCATTTTGACTCCTCTTACATTCTTACTGTGTTTTTTATTGTTTTGTAATTTTATTTGACAAATCGTTTCGTTCTTACTAAAATCATACTAAGCATTGTAGTTCTCTTTCTTTCTCGCTCTCTCTCATTCTCTTTTCTCACTCATTTCCTCTCCATCTCTCTTTGATCATCTGTGCTTGCTTTAGTTATGAGAGAAGCTGGAACTCTGGGCTCAGTTTAGCTGTAAACTGAGTTGTCTTGTCCCAAAAAAATTGTTGTATATTAAAATGATTTTTTAAAAGAAAATATGACATTGTGAATAAAGTACTTGGTAGTGGTGGGGTGTTGAGCCAACGTGTGTGCGGGCGCTACATCACAGTGCCCTGATGTGTTAGTCTGTGTCTTAATGACCATTTCAACTTCATTGCAAATAGTTATGGTGAATGTCTGCTCTTCTAAACTTTGCCACCAGGTGGCGCTCTAATCCTAGTTTATCACAGCCTGTCATGGTGATACACTAGTCATAACCATGTAGTTACTCTGCTTATAATCCATTACAACTGGTTCTAACACACTACCCACTCTTATGAACAGGAGAAAGAACCCTGTAGGAAAAGTATATCCCAAATGGCACCCTGGTCAAAAGTAGTGCACTGATATAGGGATCCATTTTGAGCACATGCCTTCTCTCCTATTCATGACTGTGATAGCTGAGACTCTTGGGTAGAGTTCGGGAGCATATGTACTGTAGAAACTGGCTCCATACCGGTAGCAGTTATCCTTCGCCATCGGATGGGTGGGTTCAACTTGTTATTGGAAGTTTTGTGGAGTGTGTGTGTGTGAGGGAAAAGGAGAGGGTTTGTGTTGTTGAATATGATAGAGTACTGTGTTTAGTATAGCACTGAGTGAATTACTTGTGTCGTATGGATGTATGAGACTGTTTATAGTATGGGTGTGTGTGCTTCCTCTGGGTCTGTGGGATTTTGGCCCATCATTTCTGCTGCTCTCAGGTCACCGCTCTGTTCTCACGCACATATTTGGCATTCTTTCCCCGACATGATTACCATACACCTTCCAGTCTGGATTGGCTGCGTGGAATATTTCCATAATTCCGAGTGGAACTGCAACGACTTTCCAGAACCCCCCCCCCCCAAAGTTCAGATTCCTCCCTCTGCTGCTCCATCCTTGTGTACAGCCCTTTCCCCCCTGAGTCAGCTGTTTGTGTCTGCCGACGTGATTGGGTGACTTGGCAGCGAAGTCTTCAATTACCTCCCGCCAGAGAGGGGGAGGGATGGGGGAGTGTGTAAGAGAAGTGCTGCATCTCAATAGTCCAAGGTTGATTACTCCCTTTCCTTTATTCCTTTCCTTCATCGGCTCAGATATGAAAGAACTGAACAGGTGTAAGCAACTGGCCAGTAGGCATCGACCATATTGCTTAGTTTCACCTGTCCTGTTTTTACAGATCAGTGCAGATGAAGGAAAAGGAGGATTCGTTATAAAAGCAGGTATGGCCGAAAACCAACTGGAGACGCTCCACTCTACAAGAACGTAGTAAATCATGGATCACTTGGCAAGATGCAAACGAAAAGCTTGACAGATGAGAGTGAGGTGGAGAGCCATTGTCAACACTCTACGCTCCCAACGGGGCCAAGAGGATTAAGTAAGTCAAGTTTATATTGACTTGTGACTCAATCATATCGAAATACCATGGTAGAATTTTGTGTTGGGGTGGTGGTTGAGGGTTTGTGTGGTGGTTAGGGGGGGATGATTGGTGTCAGATGTGTAGGCCCATGTCAGTGGGTTGAGAGCTAGAATGACAAATAGGATACTACTGCATTGCAGAAGCCTACCCTATCAGTTATTTTCCACAAAGATCAGTAGTCATGGATATAAGTACAGGTTTTGTTACGGTAATTGAGCCATACAAGACCCACAATTTCCAAGAAAGGAAGCATAGCAGCCCAAAGGAAACCTGGTGAAAGAACTGCGGAAAAGGAGATGGACTGTGACCTGTCATGGAAAATAATCCCCAAAATGGCAGAAGATCAGCAGCAGTCGCACTCTCTCGTGGAAGCCTTATGGTCTACATAAGCAAATATTTTCAAATGATGATCATCATGATGATGATGAAGGGTTGTTTGACTGTGTATAGATGGTCTACGACACAGGAGACATGTTTCTGTAAGGTTTACTGATTTTAGAAAGACTTCTGCAAACAGCTGAAATAAATAAATGAAATAATTTTATAATAATAACAATTATCGTAACAATCATAGTAAGATTGCTTATTTAGTTTTTTTGTCATCTTTATATATATAACTTTTAATAAATTGTTCCCTTTAATATTTTGTGTATGAGACTTTGGTGCTCCACTGAATGTCCTGGCAGCATCATTCTGTATCCATGGTATCGTACAGGAGCGTCATCCCCTGGGTCGTTTCTATAGCAACGCTAATATGAAGAGAAGGCACCCTCCTCCCATGCACCCGTCATCACCCTCTGGTCCTATAAGAAGAGGGAATTCTGTCCCGGGGGCGGGACTTGGGGAATTGACATGTCTCCAGTTGTCTTTGGTGGTTATTAAATTTGATTTATTTTTGGTGCAGCTTGGTTTGTACATTCTGGTTCTTAAAGCTTCAGTCCCTTCAGTGAGTTGTTGGGGGAGGTTATACAGGGCTAATTTAGGCCTCTAGTCCCTTTGCAGATTACCCCCAAACAGCTTCACAAATGGTCTTTGGTGCCCTTACACTCACACACATACACTGTACATACATTCATTCATTCATTCATTCACCCCAAGTCTCACAGATTCTCCTCGCCAGGGGGCTGAGACAGAGAGAAGTGCGTCCAAAGCAGTCCATCCATTCCATTTATTCCACCACAGTGCCATTCTGGCCTGTTCTGTGGCTTGATCCCCACTCCACTGACTTCCTGTGTTCCTCTTCCTGTTTTCTGTTTGCCCACCTGTTGCTCCACAGTTTCTCTCATGGTGCCACTGTCCCATAGATCTCTAGTCTGTCCCCCCGTCTGCCCCCCTCTCTGTCAGTCCGTCCGTCTGTCCTTCCGTCTGTCTGTCTCGTCTCTCTGTCTTTTGGTCCATCAATGACGATCATCCAGTCCTGAACAGTGTCAGATAGCTGCTCTGGTCAAAGCCTGTGAGAAAGGTTGTTGTTATTGCAGTGTCGCTAGCTTTAGCTACAGTTTAAACACACTGAAGTCATTCTTGTTTTAACAGAGCAATCACGTTTACCTTAACGCAGAGATGCGTGCTAAACCAGCCAAGTGACCGGTTTTCGTATGTTTGTTTTAAAGCAGAGCTTAACTGGCCACTGCTAAGGGACAGTGCAATAGCACAGTTCTGTCCAAGCTTGGGGGTTGGAGGGAAACGAGGCCTACACAAGGTGGAAAGCCTGGGCATCAGTTTAGCTACCTTTCAGGGGCCTTTTCATAGTTTCTGGGCCTTGCAGGGGAGTGGGCCAGGTCGATGGGCTAGTAGCAGGGTTATAGGCTTGTTCTATTTTGTTAGTGCTTTAATTTGATTCTTTTATGATGTGAAGCACTTTGTTACTTGTATTGAAAAGCGCTATACAAATAAAGTTATTATTAGTGGCCTTCAGTGTCAAGTTAGCGAGTGTACTGGGGTACTAGCCAGTTAGGAGGCCTATCAGTCAGGGTCTTGAGGAGGCTACATGTTGTCCCAGTAGTGTTGGTGTAGCACTGGTCCATTATCGATTAGCTTCAGGAACAGGTGCAGTGGATGTTAGCTGGGTCCAATGGCGCTAATTAGCCACTTAGCATGTATTAAAGTCCAGAGGAAGGGTCAAAGTTATCCCATTAGCGGTTAGTGGATGAGCAGGTACAGGTGGCAATGGGCAGTGGATGGATGGTAGCCGTTAGAATTAGCTGCTAGCGGGTCCCGGTGGCACGGACCCTCTTGCTCCTCTTGTTGACCGTTGTGAAGCGGAAGGGCGTGGTTTCAGGGTACTCCCCGGGTGGGAAGCGCTTCATAAAGTGGACGTCCTGCTGGTTGGGCAGTGTGTGGGGGCCACGGCGAGGGCGCCCCCGCTTGGTGAAGCCCACATACCAGCCGGCGTATCGTGCCGACATTAGTGCGGTGTAGTGGTTCTCCAGAACCTTTTCTACAAACACGCAGTCTTCACTTTTATTACTGGCCTTCTGAGAGAACAGAGAAATGAACACACACACACACAGGAGGAGAAAAGAGAAGTAGGTCAGCAATCCATGTGAATTTATTCAATCTAAACTAAAAGGAATGCTTAAAAACAGGACTTTGCCATAAGCCTATGATGCTGTAATCGTTTGAGAACATGAGAGTTCAGAATAGGTCTCACCTTTCCCACCAGCTTGCCGCGGCGGTTCATGCACAGGTAGAAGTTGGTCTCTTTACCGCGAATTCTCACCTGGCTACCAAAGGTGTCAGCCTCCACTACGAGCTGGGCTTGTGAAGGGACAGACAGAGGGACAGACAGACATTAGAGCCACAGACAGACAGACAGAGGGACAGACAGATGTTAGAGCCACAGAAAGTCTGACTGACTGACAGGCAGACAGCCAGACAGAGCGACAGATATAGCCTACATTAAACTAACAGATAGTGGCTTGCGAAAGTTTTCACCCCCTTGGCATTTTTCCTATTTTGTTTCCTTACAACCTGGAATTTCATTTGCACAAGATGCCTACCACTTTGAAGATGCTAAATATTTTTTATTGTGAAACAAACAAGAAATAAGACAAAAAAACTGAAATCTTGAGTGTGCATGACTATTTTGCAGCAATTACAGCTGCAAGTCTCTTGAGGTATGTCTCTATAAGCTTGGCACATCTAGCCACTGGGATTTTTGCCCATTCTTCAAGGCAAAACTGCTCCAGCTCCTTCAAGTTGGATGGGTTCTGCTGGTGTACAGCAATCTTTAAGTCATACCACAGATTCTCAATTGGATTGAGGTCTGGGCTTTGACTAGGCCATTCCAAGACATTTAAATGTTTCCCCTTAAACCACTTGAGTGTTGCTTTAGCAGTATGCTTAGGGTCATTGTCCTGCTGGAAGGTGAACCTCCGTCCCAGTCTCAAATCTCTGGAAGACTGAAACAGGTTTCCCTCAAGAATTTCCCTGTTTTTAGCACCATCCATCATTCCTTAAATTCTGACCAGTTTCCCAGTCCCTGCCGATGGAAAAACATCCCCACAGCATGATGCTGCCACCACCATGCTTCACTGTGGGGATGGTGTTCTCGAGGTGATGAGAGGTGTTGGGTTTGCGCCAGACATAGCATTTTCCTTGATGGCCAAAAAGCTCAATTTTAGTCTCATCTGACCAGAGTACCTTCTTCCATATGTTTGGGGAGTCTCCCACATGCATTTTGGCGAACCCCAAACGTGTTTGCTTATTTTTTTTTAAGCAATCGCTTTTTTCTGGCCACTCTTCCGTAAAGCCCAGCTATGTGGAGTGTACGGCTTAAAGTGGTCCTATGGACAGATACTCCAATCTCCGCTGTGAAGCTTTGCAGCTCCTTCAGGGTTATCTTTGGTCTCTTTGTTGCCTCTGATTAATGCCCTCCTTGCCTGGTCCATGAGTTTTGGTGGGCGCCCCTCTCTTGGCAGGTTTGTTGTGGTGCCATATTCTTTCCATTTTTTTAATAATGGATTTAATGGTGCTCCATGGGATGTTCAAAGTTTTCTGATATTTTTTTATAACCCAACCCTGTACAGTACTTCTCCACAACTTTGTCCCTGACCTGTATGGAGAGCTCCTTGGTCTTCATGGTGCCGCTTGCTTAGTGGTGCTCCTTGCTTAGTGGTGTTGCAGACTCTGGGGCCTTTCAGAACAGATGTATATATACTGAGATCATGTGACAGATCATGTGACACTTAGATTGCACACAGGTGGACAAATGGGGCTTGTAAAAAAAGATCCAAGCAGACATAAGGACAGACAGACACAGAGCAAGGTTAACAGAAGAAGAAGAATAAGATGACTACCAGACACTGCAGGAGGGATTGTTGTTTTTGGTGTGTGTGGTGTGAGTTTGAGTTTGTGGTGTGAGGTTGCGGTGTGATGTCAGTGAGGGTGTGGTGTGAGGCTGTGGTGTTAGTATGAGGGTGTGGTGTCAGTGTGGAGGTAGTGTGAGGTGGTTCACATCACCCCTCCCCTCCTCTCTCCCCCTCTACATGTTTACATTTTCACCCCTCTCCTCCACTCTCTCCCCCTCTACATGTTTACACCTTCACCCCTCCCCTCTTTTCTCTGTTTTTCCTCCCACAATGCTTTACTGCCAGTGCCTGATGGCGTTAACCACAGTCTTTTTTTCTTTGAGAACCATTTGTCAAGAACAGATCTGCTCCTGGAGCAGTAGTACGGCTGGCTTGAAGTGGTGTGTTTGTGAAAGGCATGGTTGTGAATGGGAGAGGTGTTTGTGAAAGGCATGGTTGTGAATGGGAGAGGTGTTTGTGAAAGGCATGGTTGTGAATGGTGAGAGGTGTTTGTGACCGGCAGGGTTGTGAATGGGAGAGGTTGTTTGTGAAAGGCATGGTTGTGAATGTGGAGATGTGTTTGTGAAAGGCATGGTTTGTGATGGGAGAGGTGTTTTGTCGAAAGGCCATGGGTTTGTGAATGAGGAGGAGTGTTTGTGAAGGCAAATGGTTGTGAATGGGGGGTGTTTGTGAAAGGCATGGTGTTGTGATGTGAGAGTTGTTTGTTGAACGGCATGGTTTTGTGAATGGGTCGATGGTGTTTGTGGAAAGGCATGGTTTGTGACTGGGAGAGGGTGTTTGTGAAAGGCGAAGGTTTGTGGCCTGGAGGAGGGTGTTGTGAAAGGCATGGTGTGAATGGGAGAGGTGTTTGTGAAAGGCATGGTTGTGAATGGGAGAGGTGTTTGTGAAAGGCATGGTTGTGAATGGGAGAGGTGTTTGTGAAAGGCATGGTTGTGAATGGGAGAGGTGTTTGTGAAAGGCATGGTTGTGAATGGGAGAGGTGTTTGTGAAAGGCATGGTTGTGAATGGGAGAGGTGTTTGTGAAAGGCATGGTTGTGAATGGGGAGAGGTGTTTGTGAAAGGCATGGTTGTGAATGGGAGAGGTGTTTGTGAAAGGCATGGTTGTGAATGGGAGAGGTGTTTGTGAAAGGCATGGTTGTGAATGGGAGAGGTGTTTGTGAAAGGCATGGTTGTGAATGGGAGAGGTGTTTGTGAAAGGCATGGTTGTGAATGGGAGAGGTGTTTGTGAAAGGCATGGTTGTGAATGGGAGAGGTGTTTGTGAAAGGCATGGTTGTGAATGGGAGAGGTGTTTGTGAAGGCATGGTTGTGAATGGGAGAGGTGTTTGTGAAAGGCATGGTTGTGAATGGAGAGGTGTTTGTGAAAGGCATGGTTGTGAATGGGAGAGGTGTTTGTGAAAGGCATGGTTGTGAATGGGAGAGGTGTTTGTGAAAGGCATGGTTGTGAATGGGAGAGGTGTTTGTGAAAGGCATGGTTGTGAATGGGAGAGGTGTTTGTGAAAGGCATGGTTGTGAATGGGAGAGGTGTTTGTGAAAGGCATGGTTGTGAATGGGAGAGGTGTTTGTGAAAGGCATGGTTGTGAATGGGAGAGGTGTTTGTGAAAGGCATGGTTGTGAATGGGAGAGGTGTTTGTGAAAGGCATGGTTGTGAATGGGAGAGGTGTTTGTGAAAGGCATGGTTGTGAATGGGAGAGGTGTTTGTGAAAGGCATGGTTGTGAATGGGAGAGGTGTTTGTGAAAGGCATGGTTGTGAATGGGAGAGGTGTTTGTGAAAGGCATGGTTGTGAATGGGAGAGGTGTTTGTGAAAGGCATGGTTGTGAATGGGAGAGGTGTTTGTGAAAGGCATGGTTGTGAAAGGCCATGGTTGTGAATGGGAGAGGTGTTTGTGAAAGGCAATGGTTGTTGAATGGGAGAGGTGTTTGTGAAAGGCATGGTTTGTGAATGGGAGGGTGTTTGTGAAAGGCATGGTTGTGAATGGGAGAGGTGTTTGTGAAAGCATGGTTGTGAATGGGGAGAGGTGTTTGTGAAAGGCATGGTTGTGAATGGGAGAGGTGTTTGTGAAAGGCATGGTTGTGAATGGGAGAGGTGTTGTGAAAGGCATGGTTGTGAATGGGAGAGGTGTTTGTGAAAGGCATGGTTGTGAATGGAGAGGTGTTTGGTGAAAGGCATGGTTGTGAATGGGAGAGGTGTTTGTGAAAGGCATGGTTGTGAATGGGAGAGGTGTTTGTGAAAGGCATGGTTGTGAATGGGAGAGGTGTTTGTGAAAGGCATGGTTGTGAATGGGAGAGGTGTTTGTGAAAGGCATTGGTTGAATGGGAGAGGTGTTGTGAAGCGGTGGTGAATGGAGAGGTGTTTGTGAAAGGCATGGTTGTGAATGGGAGAGGTGTTTGTGAAAGGCATGGTTGTGAATGGAGAGGTGTTTGTGAAAGGCATTGGTTGTGATGGGAGAGGTGTTTGTGAAAGGCATGGTTGTGAATGGGAGAGGTGGTTTGTGAAGGATGGGTTGTGAATGGGAGAGGTGTTTGGTGAAAGGCATGGTTGTGAATGGGAGAGGTGTTTGTGAAAGGCATGGTGTGAATGGAGAGGTGTTTGTGAAAGGCATGGTTGTGAATGGGAGAGGTGTTTGTGAAAGGCATGGTTGTGAATGGGAGAGGTGTTTGTGAAAGGCATGGTTTGTGAATGGAGAGAGGTGTTTGTGAAAGGCTGGTTGTGAATGAGAGAGGTGTTTGTGAAAGGCATGGTTGTGAATGAGAGAGGTGTTTGTGAAAGGCATGGTTGTGAATGAGAGAGCTGGTAACATAAACCCCATTCTTCTACACAGAGGAATATGAACACTAGCATTAATGCTGGGCTTTTTTCCCTGCATTGATCCTCTGTGGTTTAAGAATGGGTTAGGCATAATTACAGACAGAGAGAGAAAGAGGAAGGAGTGGGGAGGGAGGGAGGGAGGGAGGGAGGGAATGGGGGAGGAAGGAGTTGGGGGAGGGAAGGAGAGTGGGGGAGGGAGGGATGGGGTGGAAGGATGGGGAGGAAGGGAGGGGACTGGGGGGGGAGGAGGGAGTGGGGAGAAGGATAGAGGGGGGAAGGAGTGGGGGAGGGAGGATGGATGGGGGCAGGGGGGGGGGGAGGGAGGAAGGGATGGGTGGGAGAAGGAGGTGAGGGAGGGAGGTATTGGGAGGAGGAGTGGGGGGATGCCAGGCGTGGGGGGAAGGAGTTTGGGGAGGAGGACTGGGGGCGAGGGGATGGGGATGGAGGGAGTATGGGGGGCGGGGTTAGTGGTGATGGGCTGCGTGGGGAAGGAGCAGGATGTGGGGGCGGCTGGTGGGGATGAGTGGGGGGGGCTAGTGGGGAGGAAGAGGATGGATGGGGGAAGGAAGGGGGAGGGGGGAGGTGGGGAGGAGGGGAGGAAGGGGGGGGAAGGGAGAGGGAGGAGGGAGAGGATGGGTTTGGGTGTGGGGCTGGTGGGGGTGGGGGGGTGGAGGGCGGAGAAGGTGGGTGGTGGAGGGGGTGGGGAGGTGGGGGGGGTTGGATGGGGGAAGGAGTGGGGATGAGGGTGGATGGGGAGGAATGGCTTTGGGAAGGGATGGTGGGGAGGAAGGAGTGGGGGAGGATTGGGGTTTTCTTAGGAGTGTGGAGGCGGATGTTGGGGGAAGGAGTGGGGGAAGGTGTTCGAGGGAGTGGGGATGGATGAGGTCAGGAGGCGGGAGGATGGTGGATGGGGTGGCAGGAGTTGGTGGGATGAGTGGTGGAGAGGTTGTTGGGGGGGTGGATGGATGGGGAGAGGAGTTTTGCGGGTAGGGATGGATTGGGAGGCAGGAGTGGGGGAGGGCTGGGTGGAGGGGATGGGTATTTGTGGGGACGGGGGGGTGGAGGCGGAAGGGATGATGGGGGCGGGGAGGAGGGGGGAGGAAGGCAGTGGGGAGGAAGGGATGGACGGGGAGGTAGAGTGGGGGAGGGGGGAGGGATATGGATGGATGTGGGAGGAAGGAGTGGGGGAGGGGGGGGTGGATGGATGGAGGGGAGGAAGGAGTGGGAGAAGGGAGGGATGGATGGATGGATTGGGGGAGGAGGGAGTGGGGGAGGGAGATAGGAAGGGATGGATGGATGGATGGGGGAAGGAAGGAGTGAGGGAGGGAGGGAGAGATGGAGGGAGGAAGGGAGGGAGGGAGAAGAGGGGGAGGCAGCCTGCTGTTTTAAACCCAGAGGAGACAACAGGGAGGATGAGAAATCAATGGATAGATTGATGGAGGAGATGAGTTTCTAACACTGCCTAAACATCTAATGCTAAGCCTCTCTCATCTTTATTTCCTCTCCTCTCTTTTTTCTTCATCTCTCTCTCTCCGCTCTTTCTTTCTGTGTGTCTCTCTGGTGAATCATTGAGTCAGCAGTCAGTCGATGAGGTCTTTGTGCTCCTGAGACAACCCCCCACTGCACCCTGTCAAGACCTGAGGATTGTGTGGGTCTGTCTGTCTCTGTGTGTGTCTTACCATATTTGTCTCCGTCCTCTCCGCGGGCGCTGATGCGTCTCCCCAGCACCTGGATGTGTTTGCCGCTGGTGCGGCTGTAGAGCTGGTAGACCCGGTGGTGCCGCCTGCTCATAGCGTCTCTCACCCGGGTCTGGTTCTCCACGTGCACGCTGAAGTTAACCCCATCCACGCCAAACACCTGCTACACAGGGCACACAGGTACCAATAAGCAAACACAAACACCAACTGAAATCAACAACTATGATTATAATAAATAATACATTTTCTGTGGGTGAAGGATCTGGGTGTTCCTGGGGAACGGAAGGTAACATGACACAAAATCTAAATGCTTTTGTCTACATGCATTTACTAACAAAACACATGTACACACACAAACATGTAGTCACATACACACACCTACTCACATCCACGTATGTCCTCACCTGCAATGGATTGCACATCACCAGCAACATCTGGATACATCTGGAAAGGGACAATAGGTTTAGGATAAAGGGGATCTCCGAGCCAATGACTCCTTTCCTTCCATCTGTCCTTCCAATGACTCCTTTCCTTCCACAACACTGAGACCTATCCTTGGCTAACCAGAGAAAGCTTCTCACTGGACTTCTGTAATCACACTCCCACAGACAAGAGATGGTCAGTCACTGGCTTCCCAACCTTGTCACCCTTGTTCTTATATCAGCAGAACCACCAGCATTGACCCTTGACCTTAGAAGAGGTCAATTTAGGTGACTATCAACAGCATCATCTAGTGGAGGTATGGCGAGCACGACCTTTTGACATTGGTTTTCTTTTATCTTTAAAAGTAAAGGTTACTTATGTTTAGCCTTTTCCTATCTATATTGTGTAGGAAACTGATTGTTAGCTGTCTTGTTACCTGTCTTGTTCATTGTTTTGTCATTTTCTTTGTTATTTTGAAAGGAAATGACATAATCTGAGATTTTAATCAGTAACCTTCAGCTGATTGAAATCATTGGAGCTTCCATTCAACCCATTGAGGTTCCATAGGCTCTTATCTTATCTCTCTGTGTGTGTTCCCCTTTCACCTGACCAATCCCCCAGTCCAATAGTACTGTCTCTACTTACAATAACATCCCATTCCAGCCCCCCACCCCCACTCTTCTTCATCCCTGCCTTTGGAGTCCAAATGCCCAGATCCAGACACTAGATGTGATTCACTGTGCTGCTGGGAGCCTCAGACTTTCCTTTTCTTTCTCCCCCCCCCCCCCCCCCCCCCCCCCCCCCCTCATATTTTCTTTCCTCTCTCTCTGGGGGGGTTGATTAGTCACAGAACGGGGTGGTGTGTGGTTGGCACGGTGACATGCGAGACAGACAAACAGACAGACGTCCAGGGACAGTCGGGGACAACACCCAGAGCCTACATGTTTTCCTCTATCGGAGCAGTAGGGAAACACAGCAGGAAAACCCTCAGCCCTCTGACTGACTGACTGACTGACTGACACCTCTCCCACTCAACCACCACTTGACCTCTACATGACTGGAATGTGCCATGGTGGAAGTAGCCAGAAGGTCACATGACTGTCTGTGTGTGTGGAGGCTTACAGCTGGGTTGCTAGAGCAGATGTAATTTAGAATGGTGTGGCTGTAGAGAGAGATGGGCTGTGTTGTCTGTTACTGATGCTGTGGAGAAGGACATGCACACTCTCTCTCGCTCTCTGTCTCTGTCTCTGTCTCTCTCTCTCTCTCTCTCTCTCTCGCTGCCTCTCTCAATCTCTGTCTCTCTCTCTCTCTGTCTCGCTCTCTGTCTCTCTGTCTCTCTCTCTGTCTCTATGCTGTAGTGTAGACCACAGAGACAGAGTAGCAAGCTTGTTAAGTGAAGTGTTGACAAATGGGGGCGATTCCATGCCAACATGGCCCTCAAATATTTTTGGTATCTCAGATTGTTCTGGCAATTCTCACATCGAAATTTCATTGGAAGGATGTTTGATATGCTTTCTACATTTGTATCACAAAACATTTTTGAGAGAATCATGATGAAAGTGGCAATTCTAGCCACTTTTTAGACCTATACATGCTATAATGAGCCGTGAAGCATACATGATACAGACAACAAACACCCTGGTGTCATTACACTCCTAATAGTGTGCTCTAAAATATGGAGTATCGCTAAAAAGGGCCTAAAATGGACACTTTCATCATGATTTTCTCTCTAAAAAATTGTTTGTGATACAAATATAAAAAGCATGTTAAACATCCTTCCTCACAATTAAGTTTTTATGTGAAAATTGCCAGAACTATCTGAGATACCCAAACATATTTGAGGTCCATGCTAGCATGGAATCGCCCAAATGCAGTACATATCTGTTTCCCTCTTCGCTCCTATCTGCTCTCTCTTTGTCCTTCTCCCATATCTCAGTCTACCACTCTCCCTGTCTCCCTACCTCTGTTCTATCTCCCCTCCCTCCCTCCCTCCCTCCCTCTGTCTCTCTCCTCTCCCATGCTCAGTGTTTAGGGATGGAGGAGACTCCCCCACACAGTCATGGCCTCACACACACAGATGTGTGTGTGTGTGTGTGCGTGTGCACGGGGGCAGCAGGCAGCTGACAGCTGGACTAAAGCAAAGACTGATGCACAGAAGAGAGAAAGATTGAAAGATAGTGATAAAGGGAAGGGAGAGAGAAAGACAGGAAAGTGTGAGAGGAGAGAGAGTGATAGAGAGAGGGAGGGGAGAGAGAAAATTACTATACTCCTCCTCTAGATATACAGTGGCTGGAGAAAGAGGGGTGTCCCCATATTCTATGGCGTGAGAGACAGAAAGTGTGTTAGAGATGGAACGTGAAGAAGAGAAGAGTCTTGCATCCAGCCACCGATGCAACATGTACCTCACTCTTAACTCACTCAACCCACATACTACAAACCACACCAACCCAAACACACAAGAAGCCAAACTCCTCCGATGCAACAGTAAACTGATCTTTCCCTTAGCTGGTGTATCAGCTCATAGGGGCTGGTAATAGATGCAGACACCAGGGAAACCAAAGCTGCATTCTGCCTGCGCAGCTGAAAAAGTGGTGGTGTCTGTGCATTGTGAGGACTCTCAGCTGTTAAAACATCACTGCTGCAGAGGAGACAGAGAGAAAAGTGCTTCAGTTCTGGATTATACCTCTCTCCCCAGACCACAGACACACACTATGCCAGTGAGAGAGAGGAGAAAGAGGGAGAGGGAGAGAGGAGCTTGCTGCCACCGAGACTTAAGCACCGAAGATGCTACGAGAGGACTCCGCCAGCTTACAGTGTATTGTCCGAGACCCGTGAATGAGCTGGCATCCGCCCGGCGCAAGATTGACGAGGAGAATGGCATACGACATTGTGTTTACGCAACCGCAGACGTTCCCCAAGACTGGAGCTGTAGCTGACTCCGACCGGGATTGAGCCGCCCCGGAAAGAGGAGAAGGGCGACCCCGACCAAACCCCAGACGACAGTTGCACGATTACTTGTGCCGACCGGACGCCGACCGCCTTCGCACCAGACCCCCACTGCGAGATAACCCTTGATGTCAACTGAGGGGGGGGCGCCCAGCTGGCAGAGCACCGAGAGCAGGAAATGGACGCGTCCGATCGCCGGAGAGAACCGCTACCACCGACCCACGCAGACACACCTTCCCCGTTGGCCAACCGTCACCTTCGCCATTTCCATCATCTATCCGCTCAGACAGGACACTTCTGTAGAGCTCGTCCTAAGCACCTGTTCCAACCCGCAGAGCACGTCATCTTTCACTGGGGAGTCAGCCGAGAATGCACGACCCCATGTGAGCCCTACCCCCATGAGTCCGCCTCGGCTCAGCGCATTTTTTGTGAGTGAGAGCGACCCGAGCGAGGAGAACAATTGGCACCAACGCACGACACCCGCCGACAACTCAGGAGAGGAGGAGAGACGTATGATCGACCCGAGACCCGACGGATCTAGAGGAAGATATAGAATTATCTATGAGAGGAGCCACCTGAGGACAGAGAAAGTGAGATGAGCGCACGACGAGGGAGGCCTGCAACACCTGAGCGCCGTGACCGGGGAGAGAGACGCTAGAGCCTGAGATGCGGATGAGAGAGAGAGGAGAGAGAGAGTGAGGTGAGAGGAAGAGCTAGACCCGAGGACGAGGATGGTCCAGATGAGCCAGAGAGAGGATGGGGCCCGAAGGAAGTCTCAGAGAGGAGGTGAGAAGAGAGGAGCGAGGACGAGTGAGAGGAGACGAGAGGGGGAGAGAGAGGAGACGAGAGAGGATGAGACGAGGAAGGAGAGAGAGGGGGAGAGAAGAGGAGAGAGAAGAGAGGAGAGAGAGAGAGGAGAGAGAGAGGAGCGAGAGAGAGGAGCGAGAGAGAGGGAGAGAGAGAGAGGGAGGGAGAGGGAGAAGAGAGGAGGAGAGAGAGGAGAGGAGAGAGAGGGAGAGAGAGAGGGGGAGAGCCGAGAACGAGAGTAGGAAGAGAGAGAGGAGAGGAGAGGAGGAGAGAGAGGGTGGAGCTGTGAGAGAGATGGAGAGGAGAGAGAGGATGAGAGAGAGAGGAGGCAGGACGAGAGGAGAGAGAGAGAGAAGAGAGAGAGAGGAAGGAGGAGAGAGGCGAGAGAGAGGAGGGGGAGAGAGAGGGAGAGAAGAGAGTGAGAGAGACGAGAGAGTAGAGAGAGAGAGGGGAAGAGAGAAGAGTGGCGAGAATAACAAAGCGAGAGAGTAGAAGAGACATTATGAGGGAGGTATAGTTCTAGAAGAGGGACAGAGGGAAAGCCTAGTTACCCTTTGGGCCTGTGCCAAAAAAAACATCAAGCTGACATTGTAAACCTGCATCTCTGAAGGTCTCCCTATGTGAAGTAGACTTTAAGGTATAGTGGGCCTCACTATGGAGCTCCAGCATGGAGTAATGGTGAAGGTTGTGTGCCGCAGAATGGAGAAGTGGTTGAGGTAGTGGGCCTCAGGGTTGAGAAATGGTTAGGGTGGTAGGCCTCAGCGCGGAGCAGTGGGCCTCAGAGCGGAGATGTGGTTTGAGCAGCAGAGAAGTAAGTCTCAGTGGTGGTTAAAGCAGTATTAGGCCCCAGCGTGCAGCAGTGGTTTTTAAAAGAATAGCACTATAGGCCCCAGCGTGCAGCAGTGGTTTTTAAAAGAATAGCACTATTGGCCCCAGCGTACAGCAGTGGTTTTTAGAAGAATAGCACTATTGACCCCAGTGTGCAGAAGTGGTTTTTAGAAGGATAGCACTATTGGCCCCAGCGTGCAGCAGTGGTTTTTAGATGAATAGCACTATTGGCCCCAGCGTGCAGCATTGGTTTTTAGAAGAATAGCACTATAGGTCTCAGCGTGCAGCAGTCGTTTTTAGAAGAATAGCACTATAGGCCCCATCGTGCAGCAGTGGTTTTTAGAAGGATAGCATTATTGGCCCCAGCGTGCAGCAGTGGTTTTTAGAAGAATAGCACTATTGGCCCCAGCGTGCAGCATTGGTTTTTAGAAGAATAGCACTATAGGTCTCAGCGTGCAGCAGTCGTTTTTAGAAGAATAGCACTATAGGCCCCATCGTGCAGCAGTGGTTTTTAGAAGAATAGCACTATAGGCCCCAGAGTGCAGCAGTGGTTTTTAGAAGAATAGCACTATTCTCCAGCGTGCAGCATTGGTTTTTAGAAGAATAGCACTATAGGTCTCAGCGTGCAGCAGTCGTTTTTAGAAGAATAGCACTATATGCTCCAGCGTGCAGCAGTGGTTTTGGAAAAATAGCACTATTGGCCCCAGCGTGCAGCAGTGGTTTTTAGAAGAATAGCACTATTGGCCCCAGTGTGCAGCAGTGTTTTTTTTTTTTTTAAGAATAGCACTATAGGCCCCAGTGTGCAGCAGTGTTTTTTAGAAGAATAGCACTATTGGCCCCAGTGTGCAGCAGTGGTTTTTAGAAGAATAGTACTATAGGTCTCAGTGTGGAGCTGTGGTCAGAGGCTAGACCATTTAACCCATGTTTGAGTTTGTGTAGAGCAGGGTTGGGTCAATTCGCAATTTCAGAATTTAATTAAATTCAACACATTAATTGGAATTGAATTTGTATTGGCCACACCCCACAGGAAGCAGAATTTGAATTGAATTTGAATTGAAGGAAATATAATTTAATTCAAATAAAATGAAATGTTATTGGTCGCGTACACATATTTTACAGATGTTATCACAGGTGCAGCGAATGTTTTTTTATTTTTTTATTTCACCTTTATTTAACCAGGTAAGCCAGTTGAGAACAAGTTCTCATTTACAACTGCGACCTGGCCAAGATAAAGCAAAGCAGTGCGATAAAAACAACAACACAGAGGTCATAAAATACAACAGAAAATATATATACAGTGTGTGCAAATGTAGCAAGTTGTGGAGGTAAGGCAATAAATAGGCTATAGTGCTAAATAATTACAATTAGTATTAACACTGGAATGCTAGATGTGCAAGAGATTATGTGCAAATAGAGATACTGGGGTGCAAAATAGCAAAATAAATAACAATATAGGGATGAGGTAGTTGGGTGGGCTAATTTCAGATGGGCTGTGTACATGTGCAGTGATCGGTAAGGTGCTCTGACAACTGATGCTTAAAGTTAGTGAGGGAGATAAGAGTTTTCAGCTTCAGAGATTTTTGCAATTTGTTCCAGTCATTGGCAGCAGAGAACTGGAAGGAATGGCGGCCAAAGGAGGTGTTGGCTTTGGGAATTACCAGTGAGATATACCTGCTGGAGCGCAGATTACGGGTGGGTGCTGCTATGGTGACCAATGAGCTAAGATAAGGCGGGGATTTGCCTAGCAGTGATTTATAGATGGCCTGGAGCCAGTGGGTTTGACGACGAACATGTAGTGAGGACCAGCCAACAAGAGCGTACAGGTCACAGTGGTGGGTAGTGTATGGGGCTTTGGAGACAAAACGGATGGCACTGTGATGGACTACATCCAATTTGCTGAGTAGAGTGTTGGAGGCTATTTTGTAAATGACATCGCCGAAGTCAAGGATCGGTAGAATAGTCAGTTTTACGAGGGCATGTTTGGCAGTATGAGTGAAGGAGGCTTTGTTGTGAAATAGGAAGCCGATTCTAGATTTAACTTTGGATTGGAGATTCTTAATGTGAGTCTGGAAGGAGAGTTTACAGTCTAACCAGACACCTAGGTATTTGTAGTTGTCCACATACTCTAGGTCAGACCCGTCGAGAGTGGTGATTCTAGTCGGGTGGGCGGGTGCCAGCAGCGTTCGATTGAAGAGCATGCATTTAGTTTTACTAGTGTTTAAGAGCAGTTGGAGGCTACTGAAGGAGTGTTGTATGGCATTGAAGCTCGTTTGGAGGTTTGTTAACACAGTGTCCAATGAAGGGCCAGATGTATACAAAATGGTGTCGTCTGCGTAGAGGTGAATCTGAGAGTCACCAGCAGCAAGAGCGACATCATTGATATACACGGAGAAAAGAGTCGGCCCAAGAATTGAACCCTGTGGCACCCCCATAGAGACTGCCATAGGTCCAGACAACAGGCCCTCCGATTTCACACATTGAACTCTATCTGAGAAGTAGTTGGTGAACCAGGCGAGGCAGTCATTTGAGAAACCAAGGCTATTTAGTCTGCCAATAAGAATGCGGTGGTTGACAGAGTCGAAAGCCTTGGCCAGGTCGATGAAGACGGCTGCACAGTACTGTCTATTATCGATCGCGGTTATAATATCGTTTAGGACCTTGAGCGTGGCTGAAGTGCACCCATGACCAGCTCGGAAACCGGATTGCATAGCGGAGAAGGTACGGTGGGATTCGAAATGGTTGGTGATCGGTTTGTTAACTTGGCTTTCAAATACTTTCGAAAGGCAGGGCAGGATGGATATAGGTCTGTAACAGTTTGGATCTAGAGTGTCACCCCCTTTGAAATGCTTATGTTTCTAGCTCCAACAGTGCAGTATACCTAACAATACAAAACAATACACACAAATCCCCAAAAAATGTAAATGAAGAAATCAAGATATTAGAATGAGCAATGTCAGAGTCCGGAATATAAATATGTATATGATAGTGTCTATAGACAGCATGGACAGTATATGAATAGAAAAGTTGCGTACAGCAGTATTTATATAGGATGAGCCTTGCCTAGAATATGGTACACTGAGTGTACAAAACATTAAGAACACCTTCCTAATATTGAGTTGCGCCCCCCTTTGCCCTCAGAACAGCCTAAATTTGTCAGGGCATGGACTATAAGGTGTCGAAAGCGTTTCACAACCTTGACTAGAATACAGTACACTGAGTGTACAAAACATTAAGAACACCTTCCTAATATTGAGTTGCACCCCCTTTTGCACTCAGAAGAGCCTCAAATCGTCGCATGGACTACAAGGTGTCGAAAACATTCCACAGGGATGCTGGCCCATATTGACTCCAATGCTTCCCACAGTTGTGTCAAGTTGACTGGATGTCCTTTGGGTGGTGAACCATTTTTGATACACATGGGAAACTGTTGAGCATGAAAAACCCAGCAGCGATACAATTCTTGACACAAAAACTGTTGCGCCTGGCACCAACCCTGTTCAAATATTTTGTCTTGCCCATTCACCCTCTGAATGGTACACATACACAATCCATGTCTCAATTGTCTCAAAGCTTACAAAGACTCGAAATTGAGCTCAGGTGAATCCTGTTTCCATTGAACATCCTTGAATA